AAATAAGTAATGAAAAATCATTGACATCTTCATAGAATTAACAGTTCATCTGAATATCCATCTCCTTTAGCGATTCCTCCCAAACTTTTTATAACTTTTCCCAGTAAGGAGGAAAAAGTCAGTTTCAGTTATGATTTATGACATTTTATTTTACTTATGCCCTTTTAATTGATTAATAACAGTATATTAACTCGTGACTACAAAGTAAATAAATAATCTTTTCCGTGAAAGGTTATCATCCCTACATAGTAGCAGATCGTTAAATATTTGTTGAATCTAATTTGATTGGATATATAGTAACTTTGAGTTTAAATTTTCTACTTCCATATTCGACATTTTGGTTTACTCCAATATTTTATTTCTTAGGGATTTTTGACACCGTGCTTAGTTTTTACATACTGATTCACTAGACAGTGGTAAGCTTCAAGCATGAAAGGCAAACAAAAAGATAGTCCTAAACGTTATAAATACGAGTACTTTAGGTTGGATTTTGAGCCTTTTCGTAAAGACTTGGTATGTTTGATAGATATTTTGAAACCGAAATACACTAAAGCATTTAAACCTTAAATGGTAAAAGTTATGTTTAGTACTGTAATCATACAGTAACAATACTAATCGTAAAATCTTTTGTAATAAAAACTTTAGACTATTGATAAAACAATGAACTACGTACGTGTAACAAAGATATTCGTTATAAGAGGTTTCTGTGGTCTTATCCAGTCGAATACATCGCCTTCAGAAGTAATTTTAATTTTTGGGGCAAAACGCGAACTACATCAGTATCCATATTGCGTGATAGCGTCTTATAATCTAGAATACATCTATAATATACAGTATATATTTAATAACAATAATATACTGTATATTATATTTTTATACAGTTATTGAAATCCCCTAACTACTCCTAAGAACCTACTCTGCTATCGTAGGTTTGAATTTACCGGTATATCACCTATTTTATAAACAATAGTTTATTTACATTAATTTTCATCCGAATCTAAAATTAGTCGCTGCAGTACTTCAACCTAGGTTTCGACGCAGGTTGCCTCATGATCATACATATACCAGACACATTATACCATGATTGTTTCCTAGATAACAATATAATAGGAATGGTAATAGTATTATAATGTACTAATTACTATGTATAATCTACTAAATCAACTAAATGTATAATCATTATGACTGCTTATCTTCCAGCATTTTGTGACATGCATTGTGTGCATTTTGCATTTTGTGCACATCGTTATTTCTGTCGTAACTTTTGATTGTTACTATGTGTTTGTTCGTTATTTGCATGTAAATTCACTAAATCGTTTTACCGAGAAAGGTAAAATTTATTGCAGCTAAATTTCATTATAGCAATTGAGTGGTTGAGGTATATACACACACACACTGTATTTAACACGTGATAGGAGAAAAAATTACCCAAACAACTTGTGAAACATAAATATTCAGAAAATATTTTTCACCGAATCTGCATAGTAGTGGAAAAACTTAAGAATCGATGGAAATATTTTAAATTTCCAATTGTTTTACAACTGACAAAAGACTTGTTACCTTTTTTACGATTCAAATTCTTTAATAATAAGGCTATTTTCAAAGACACTTTTAATCAGTGTGTACAGCCTAAAATAAAGAAAAAATTAAAGTAATTACTCAAATAGAAGAAATAACTGATAAATTTGAAACAAAAGAAGCTATTTTGTTTAAATAAGCGACTGTTGACCCACTTTCGACGACGGAACGCTGAGCAAGCTTCAACTTTACTAATTTAACTTCTTAGTAGAGTAAAGAGCATCTAAACGTCAACATGTGTAACTGCCAACAAACTTGGCTTTTTAGTTTATTACTGTCTGGCATTAATGTTTCATTTACTTTTATTTTGTTTAAACACTCTTAAAATGTAAAATATCATCTAATTGTTTGTATGTGTGTTATAATTGTAAATTCAACATTGCTACACATTGTCTTTAGATGAATTTCTAACAATTTCACTAATAATGGTTTACACTTACTGCATCAGAGTAATCCTTTGTTGCTTATTTGGCAACTAGTTTCGATTATTCTGAGCTATCATCACACCTCAAGGTGTCAGGTAATCAATTCGTTCGAAGGTCGTTAACAAAGAGAGTTCAGTAAATAAAACATCTACGACACACGATAACATAGAAAGGAGACACGAAACACACGAAGTAGACAAAAAATTAACGTTACCGGGCTGAAGTAAAGTCTAGACTTAACTTAATACAGGGATCCAGAGGCTAGCTACAATTGAAAATAACAATTTCAATATAAAATTAGCCATTTAAATGTTAACCATTAAACCATTAAAAGGTTTATGTGTATGCCTATTTAAACCTTTTAGTATTAAATATTTAGAAAATATATTAGGATTCAACTTACAACCGTCCCTCCTTAAAGGTTATTCGGGTGTATTTAAAGATGTAAAAATGTTGAAGAAGGCAATAATCTGGCCAGGTTTTAATATCGAAGGATTCACGTTCGGTATAAGAGAGCCATTGTGAGGAAGGACATTGTTGTAAGCCTGTCTGAGATTGCTTTGTATTGTCATGAATCTTCAAATATGCGTGAGGCAAAACTGCCCAGTTATTGGAACGCTGAGATATCCTGGGAATTGACATTCAATGTAATGTTGACGATTTCAATTCATCAAACTCCACTAGATTCGTAAATATAGGCTAATAACACTATTGAATTTGTGAACTCTAGTAAGAGGATGTAGAAAAAGTAGGTATTTTAAATGTAATTCATTTATAGTATATTTCATCACGAAGGCCTAAAGTGACCCTTTTCAATCCGAGCTCAAGTTTTTTTTTTCAAGGCGAAGCCGAGGTTAAAAAAATATTGAGTTTTGAAAAGACATTTTTTGCCCATGTGATGAACTATATTTTTTGTCATATTGCACCATCATTTGAACAAACTATGTTACAAAACCGAATTAGTTTTCATTTAAAGATGGCTTCTCTAAGCTACTTCTAGCTTGTTTTCGATTTAATTTTCGAATGGAAACAAGCAGCTGTTTAGCGCAGTAAGTGGTTCAACCGTTTGGTATATTACGATTATGTTACTGTAGTGTACATTATACTATCGAAATATCTAACTATTTACAAAAAGGACAATTAACTACAATCGATTAAAAAATCAATACCTACTTTTGATACATGCAATTGTTTACAATCAAAATTTACAACTGAGTTGACAACAGCAGATTTTTACTCCCTATGCACTAAAATCATTATTTAAATATTCAAATGTTAAGGTTTCAAAAAATCTTACCATCTGTTGCAAAGGATTGTCATTATATTTGAAAAATATTCCTTTACGGCGAATCAATCAATCCATCTCCTAATGGAAAAGAATATTTAATCTGTCTTATATTCAATTGTTTACAAAGATTATATATTATTAAATATTTGAAATTCAATTTATTATTATAAAATATCATCTATTTAATTATTGAGGTGATGGAGTTCCAGTTGATTTGTTCTGGTTCTATAAAAAGGTATTGTACTCTAGCTCATGGTATTATAGTTGGAAATCCGTAGATAATTATTATGATTTGATATCATTATCTCAGACGTGCTACAGAACTGAGCTTAAATCACACTTTACAGGAGAGAAAGTTACAGTATATCCACAAGAAACTTGACAAACCCAGGAAAGTCTCCATGATTAAAAGTTAGATTGATAAAGTTTTTGCTTTAACTACTCTTTGAAACTATACATTTGATGTACAATTAACTTCTTATGACTCAATACATTGATTTCCAACTATGATTTTTACTGTTTCTTTCTTTAGTTATGTTCTAGTTAAAACAATTGAAACCCCAGTTGAAATAAATTGGCATACATTGTGATGGCCATTTTATTGTGAATTATGAACAACTCAACACACAACATTCACCTACGTGATGTAAAAACGCTCTTACTACACTTGTGAGGTAAATAGCTATATTAGTATAGTAATTGATGGTACTACATGGCAATAATACAACGTTATAAAGTCACTATTGAATTGCATTAATTTGTTTTTCTTTTAGATAAAACTCAACACTAAAATAATTTTATACAATATGATTCAATCAAAACAGTGTAAAGAATTTTCTCATCTAGGCTTGAGAATACTTATATTCAATAAATTAAGGAAAATGTTTCATAGAATTTTTCTGTCTCAGTTTTTATGGACAAATGATATATTTCAATTCCACATAGCATAGCAATGTATTTAAATTAACTTCAAGCCATTATCCTTGTACTTTCTGAAACGATTTATATTTCTTATAACATAGTAGGATTATTTAAATCGTCAAATTCATCAGTTAGGTCTTATTTTTAACAATTAAGTGACTATGAAACAAGTGGATAAACTATTAAACTTTCTTAATTAAACTTTGAGTTGAGTTAAACAGGTTGAAGAAGCTCATGTGAAACTTCATCAATTATTCATTTGACTTAACAGGGTCAAAGTTAATCCTCCTGATGATTTGAACACTAAGCAGCAGTTAAAAAATAGGACTGATGAGAATTTCATTTTTGTTCTGAATCAGTCAAAACTTGAACCATACTGTAGTTTTTTAGGTTACAGAAACTCTAGTTTTCACCACTATTTCATCTTAACCTTAAACATGAGCTGTCAGTCAATGGTTAAATAGCCGTTAAATAGCCCTTTAGTTTTCATTTTTATATTGACTACTATATAGTTTTCATTATGATTTTCCTGCCTTTGGCTGGATTTTTGAAGTAACCTTTTATATGTTAAATAATACTGTTCTTAATCCCAACTTATTATAAAAATCATTATCGAAAATATCCTCAATAATCTCTTTAAAAACAAAAACTCACCTTAACTAAAATTCAAATTTAAACAAAGAATCTACAATATTATTTCATAACAGGTTTTATATCCACAACAAACTCTAAATTGTCCATACTGAAAATTTTTTTTAAGGATTAGGACTTCAAATAATTTAACAGTGTACTTTTGTATTTTTAGTGTATTTGCAGGAACGAACAAAGGGTTAACCTTTTTTGTAAAAGCACTGGACGAATCTGTATCCTTTCTCACAAACATCCTTGGCATCTGAAACGATATTCGACCACAATAAATATCACACAAGTATAAAAATTAATCACACTAAATTGTATGTTTATATATGTTTCCTATATTTCCATGGTGGACATTTGTTGGTGAGAAAAGAGTCTTATTTACCAAGAATTGTAAAAGAAATACATCTGATTTATTTAAAAAAGTACTTTTCAGTGTTACCAGTGGTGACTGTGATGCAAAAGTGGTCAATGCAAAATGATAATAGAACTATTGATGTTATTACTTAACAAATATTGCAATATTAAACTGATAGAAATCCCTGACTTAAACAAAAAGCTTACTCAGATTCACTATAAGCATTTCAAACTTTTCTGAATAAATTTTACCATCCAAACAAAAAAAAAAAAAAAATATATATATATATATAGAAAGATTTATGACAAAAGTGTTTTTATAAAGAAAGTTTTCTTGAAAATTGATTATAATTTTCAGAATGAATACTAAGGCTACTTACTCTCCTTCATACATGTAGCTGAATTTCTTGATATGGATTCCTTAAACCTGGATTCTGGGATACTGTTTAAAAATTTCTGCATCGAAGATTGGCTAAATTTGCCTTGTCGGTCCATCTAAAAGTAAGCATATATTTCAATTCAAACCTTCAAAAATATAGATATTTGATATTCTGCTGAAATACCTTTTTCGTGACATTATATCAAATAGGCATGAACGTATCCAATTAGGTAAAAACTTATTACGGTATAAAAGTATATCAACTATTAAAATGCATAATATTTAACTTTCTGTAAGCATATATTTCAATTTAAACCTTCAAAATATAGATATTTGATATTCTGATGAAATACCTTTTACGTACTGTAGGCATTATATCAAATAGGCATAAATGTATCCAATTAGGTAAAAACTTATTATGGTATAATAGTATATCAACTATTAAAATGCATAATAGTTGCATAATAGTAGTTTTCCAGTCACATCGACAAAATTCACAATAGACTTAGTACTAGTGCTTTCCTTCTTCGTAGGCTCTCCTGTTATCAAGACAGACGCATCCTTCTGACAGCTTATTACGGTCTTGTTTACCCCTTTCTTACATATTGTGTGCCCGTTTGGGGTAACGACAAACTTCAAACTAAGAAAATATTCAAACTGCAAAAAAGGGCCATCAGATTAATCTTCAACCTAATAAAATATAGAGGGTCTTGTAGATCTGTCTTTCGTACAAATAATATGCTGACCTTCCCATCAATTTTCATTTTTGAATCTTTGACCTTCTTAAAAAAAAATTCGACACTGTTTCATATTAGAGGGTCATCTCACCACAGCTACAATCTCAGGAGGAACTTTAACCTACATATTCCACTATCTCGTACCACTTTCCATAAAAACCAATCATTCTCCATGTGTATCCGTCTTTTTAATTCTCTTCCTAACACAATCAAGGGCGAACATGATTTTAAAAAATTTAAGCGTGGTCTGAGGGAATATTTAGTTGATAAGGAATTTTACAGAGTTTCTTCGTTTTTAAATTGTAAATAGTTTGTACCTTTTGAAGTTTGTATCTTATTTTAATGGGTCTTATTTTACTTGTTTAGTTTTAGTGACTTTTGCCCTGTACATTTATGTATTATTATGGCAATAAAACATTCTGATTCTGATTCTGATTCTAATATTTAACTTTCTGTAAGCATATATTTCAATTTAAACCTTCAAAAATATAGATATTTGATATTCTGCTGAAATACCTTTTTCGTACTGTAGACATTATATCAAATAGGCATAAATGTATCCAATTAGGTAAAAACTTATTAAAAGTATATCAATTATTAAAATATGTAATATTTAACTTTCTGGAATTATTGGTAATAAACCTATAAATTAAAATAGTTTGTTGGATGGTTGGATCATGAATCACTAGGCTATATATAATTTTTTCAACAAACGAGTAAAAATTCAGTTTAGCTTCACAGCTGATCTGCCGATCATCTTGCATTTAAAATATTTTTGGAGATTAAACTCTGACAAAGACAATAGTTGTAGCAAGCACCGCTGACAAAATAGTATACAACATACTATTCTATGATCCTGAACTACGTGTACCATAATAATAAGTGGTATCTACAAACCAGATTGAACTTGTGAAGTAGACATGATGTGAAACATTTACTTTTCTGATCAGTTTGTTCTGGAGAAGTCAGAAAGGCAACACTCATGGCTGAAACATACCCCACAACTCTATATCCATAATTTGCTCCACAGTTCATGAGTATTTAAATGTAATATCCCACAAAATATTAAAAATATATAATAGTTTTCTAGATTGGATTTTTTCATGACATTTTTTATACAAATAATTACAAACAAAGGGGAGCTGTGGGCATTTCAATTGTGTTAAAACTTTTTTAACTCAATTTAATAACATAAAATAGTTTATTTTGGATCTACACCACAAATAATAATTTACCTACCTCAATCAGCAGTTAAACTTATCAAAAAATAGCCTTAAAACCACTTCAATAAATTGTTTTGTCACACTTCTATACATTCTGACTATGGTTAAACAATCAACTGAACAACCAGCAGTTAAATTACAATTTACATTAAACCTTTTTGTAAAGAAAGTGGGTCAGCATTACTGAACATTTGAATGCATTATGTAGAAATAAATCAAAAGCAAAAGGGACAAAGTCCTAAATGAAAAAACCTTTTAATTACCATTCCTCACTCCGCTAGGTCATAAGCTTTATAAATGCACTTCCACTTCAGTCGCAAAATGCCTTCAAGTTATACGGCTGTAAAAGGGATTTAACAGAGAAAACCCTTATTCACAGTTTGATGTTTAAATTTTAATGATAGTGATTTGTTTCAACATGTCTTGTAAACTCACCTGATGGGGGGCCAACTTCTTGTGAACACTTTTTTGCTGCTTCCACAAATGTCTTCTTGAATGTTCTCTTATCTACCTGCTGCGCTTGAGCTAGAAACCAAAATATAAAGGAAAGAAGAACTAAGTAAAATAAGCATAAATGCAGTTTTTAAACAGAATAGTACCAATTGTACATAGTTACAAACTAAAGAGGAATGAGTTTTTCAGGTCAATTAATACCTCATATAATATCTGGAAGCCAACAGTATGATTTTTTGGTCAAATGATTGATTCAAAATACTTTGAAAACCAAACAAAGGTTTAAGTAGTTAAATACTGTAGTTCTAATGTATTTAATAATGCAAAGAGCAAACAACTCTATCATATAAAAGTAGGTACCGTACCTATACACAATGAATCATACAAATAATAGTACAATTAAAAAAAAATCTGATTAAAGGTTGTACTGTTGGATAAAATAAAAGATTGAATTTGTACTACAATATAGTTGAACATTATTTTATATGAGATTGAAGTTTTTATAATGAGCAAATGTATTAAAATAATCAGTTTTAGCTTAAAATGGATGAGAGTTGTCACCTATGGTTTAATAACAGTAGTTAATTCAATTCAGCGAAATGTTGTAATACAACATAGACAAAGTGAAAAGTAAAGTTGATTTTTTTACATATTTGAATGTAAAAGTCTGAAAGTAAAAATGAGAAGGGGTAGTCAGGTAACCCTTACATAAGTTCTAAATTAGTTCAAAAATATTACTGTTGACCCCTTAAAATGTGTATTATCTAACTTGAGAACTACAGAACAGTGTACACAACAGTTACAGTTCCCTGATAGACCCTTTTGTAGTAAGCAAAAACCACAACCATTAACAAACAACACAGCTACTCCACTACCACTCTTTAATACCCATATTAGTACTTATGGTTATGGAGTGAGGAGGGAAAGAGAGGATGTCTAGATGCCAGCAATTAAAATGTCCCTTTGTGAATGGTAAACTGTCCATCTGGCAGCATCTGAATGAATAAGAAAACTCCATAAAAATTTGTATTTGTAAGTGGTGTACAACCTACAGCAAGCTAGAAGCCCTCTTCAGAAATTCTCTCAACCCTCATACACAGTGCAAAATCACAACACCCCTACCGCAGTAAACCTGCAGACTAAGCAAATTTTCACTTGCTTCCATTTGTCAAACGGGAAAACCCCATTTTTACCCTGTAAATTCATTGCAGCAATATTGTAGGTTTGTCTGAGCTATGTTTATCAGTATAGTTAACGCTTCACAGAACAGACATATCGCTTTGCTTAAAGCGTTTCGCTCTCAAGCCAACCTCTAAAAACAGATTAATGCAATTTTTGCACTACACAATACTTTAAACTACCTTTCAGCTTACAATGGGTTGTATATACCTACAATGCTTTGAGATAAACTTGTGATTTATCAACTATATCGAATAAAAAAGATATATTTTTCAAAAATTTGCAAATGTGAATTCACAAAGAAAAATAACACTTACTTGGGCCATAGGTGTATATAAATACAAGCAGGATAACAACTGCTGTGACCAGGGTCAGCTGTCCTCCATTCATCCTGATGAACTGATGATGGCAAATGAAACAGGAAGCATTGATAGTGATCTTTGCAGAGTGATTAGATCAGTGACATGGCAATAGTCATGCTATGATCACACTTTACCTTGTGTGCTCAATATTTACAGTTAGGGACCAAGAAAACCCAACTGTGCTAGTCCATGTAAATGAATTGTTCAGCATTTGCTGTCCAAGTCAGGGCTTTTGTCAAGAATAAGTAGCCCCTATCCCTCCAAATTGCAACCATGCAGAATTTTTTTAGGGCAGTGACATATTTTAGTTAAGAACATTTAACACGGAAAATTGAGAAGGGATTTCTTCCCCTCTATTTTTTATTTTTTTTTTTTAACCCTCGAGCGGGGGCTTGCGGAGTTTTCCTCCGCAATTGTAGTTTTTGTTAATATAAATATGCATAATGGGTGTCGGCAGTCGTGTATGGCTCTACACTTCACGCACCTCATCCTGGGAATGCCCTTAAGCTATTTTCACCCCGAAATTCCTCCTCATTTTGTTGTCAGTTGCAATTCAGTGACGCGGTGTCAGTTTGCGGAGGTTTACTCCGCGTGCGCCCTATCGCGTAAGTCCTCAGCGCAGAGTTTATTTCCTCATGCGTTATTGTCAAACTTTGTGTATATTTTATACATACAAAATTATAAATATGTATAAATTTATTATTTTATTTATAATTATTATCAAACATATTTTGTTTGCATGTATATGTATAATAGAATTATTGCGGATCAAAACTCTGCACGCCCCTCGTAACATACCTTTATACTGGAAAATTGCTCAATATTATTATTTGAAATATTACTCATATAAAGTTTAACAAATAATGTTATCTACAAAGAAATTAGGTTTCTGATTAGGTTATTCAACATTTACATATAGTATTTCTTATGACAAGTAAAATGGGTAAAATTTATGCTATTTAACACGTTCGCTACTGCAATAGTACGAAATGTTCCATTCACATGGACCAGCGACGCACATATGCGACGGCTGGTTTCCACCCATAGACTGCCGTCGCATATATGCGACGGCTAGTCACATTAAAATAGACTGCCGACGCATATGTGCGTCGGGGTTCTAATGTTTTTAAAATGCTTATATCTTTGTAGTGGTTTATTTGAAGGCACTGAATTCCCTGCAGTGGTCTACAGAGATGTCTGACGCACAACTGCGTCGCTTGGTCTGTGGATATGATGATTGGTGACGTCATATAATAGTTGGAAAAACTGGTCTTTACTTTTCTGCATCACTGTATGTATGCTGCATTATCCTATGTAGCTTTTATATTTGTTCAGTTATAAACTGTTCTTGAATAATCTGTTTATTTCTTTACTTACTTTCACCTTAAAACACAAAAAAATGAACTGTCGCATATATGCGACGTTTAGTCGTTTAGTCTATTTCAAGAAAACTATGATAATTTTCACTATTGTCTTTGCTGTAGACCGGGTGTCGCAAATATGCGACATTACAAAAGGTTATAAAAAATACAAATAAAAAAGAATAATTTATTTACAAACACGATTGTAGCGTATTACAATGTAAATGATCACTGTTTTACAGGTTTTCGCCCGTGGTCTGTGTGTACTGTTATCCAAGTGACAGTCGGTCGTGTAAGATTCAAATGTATACCTCGGTCTGTGGCAATGACCGTGGCGTCGCATATATGCGACGCTCAGTAGCGAACGTGTTAATGATGCGGAATAAAACTCTGCATGCGCCCCGCTCCCGTTTTACTGGTGAAGGAGGATTTAATCCTTGAGGGTTAAGAATATTGTACCAATTTTTACTTTTGTCCCCTAGTACCGTAGTCTATATGGAGAAAATATTGTCTTTACAAAATGATCAAGTTTGAAATTTGGGTGGAAATATCCACTTTATGTCACCCTTAACCCAAAAAAAATTTGCTACAGACTACACCTGTGATCTGATTTGGATAAAATGTGGAATTTAGGTACTAATCCATGGTATCTACAGAGTCTTTTTTATCATTTGTTGGAGAATTTTTATTTTTATTGTGGTTTTCCTATAAAATACATCAAATACCAGATGTACAACAGAAAATCAGATTTTAACAAAACATAAATGCTGTTTGCTATTCACCATTATCCTTGTATTTATTAATTCTAGAACAACACTTATTTTCACAAATATTTCTTCAAGTAAGGCCTGACTTCTTCTGCTTTTGTTCTTGCCTGAAAACAAAAAACATGATATAAGCTTCTTGCATTTTAAATTGTGGTATCCCCAACATGATTCTTATAAATAGTATTTAATCTATGTATCACAAAAAGGAAAGTGTCTTCTCTAAGATCCTGCCTCGAGTGGCTTAAACAAATACTAAAAGATACCACACAGTGAAAACTTTGGAAATACCTTTTTTTTCATCAGTCGTATAATTTTATCTCTGAACCATAATACATACTGAGCAGTGTGTTACCTTAGCAGAAGTGTTCACAATACACTTCAATGCATTCACCACCGCTTCAGCTCCCGAACCTTCCACTGCAACAAATGAGAAGCTCAATTACATTAAATTCTTATTTTGATTGATTCTCAAGTTTTCTCAACAAATAGCATTAATCTGACATAATAGATAAGTGTCTCTCAATATTTTTCCCCAGTGATACTTCTATTAATGAGATAGTGATAGTAAGACAGCAGCTGGAGGTCTAGTCAATAAAGTTACCTTTCCTGCAGATCCTGTAGACTCTATTGAACTCTTCATCGTCATTCACTCTGCATTTGTACTTGTGGAGAGTTTTCGGCATCAACTTCCCTTTAGCATCTAGCTTCATCAAGGTGGTTTAGAAAAGACATAAAGGAATAAGTAACATCATTTCAAAAATAAGAAATTATAGATAGTTTCTACGTGTTTATTAAAAGCAACCAGTTTTCGATCAATATATCATAATATTTTTAGATGGTAGTCCTGGTCTTCAGTACAGGCTGCTATGAAATATCGCATATGAAATATCTGCAACTACTTCACTGTCGTCTTCATCTTTGCGGTTACACGTTCGCTACTGAGCGTCGCATATATGCGACGCCGCGGTCATTGCCACAGACCGAGGTATACATTTGAATCTTACACATAGACCGGCTGTCACTTGGATAACAGTACACACAGACCACGGGCGAAAACCTGTAAAACAGTGATCATTTACATTGTAATATGCTTCAATCGTGTTTGTAAATAAATTATTCTTGTTTTTTTGTATTTGTTATAACCTTTTGTGATGTCGCATATTTGCGACGCCCGGTCTACAGCGAAGACAATAGTGAAAATTATCATAGTTTTCTTGAAATAGACTAAACGTCGCATATATGCGACGGTTAATTTTTTTGTGTTTTAAGGTGAAAGTAAGTAAAATAATAAACAGATTATTCAAGAACAGTTTAAAACTGAACAAATATAAAAGCTACATAGGATAATGCAGCCTACATACTGCATACATACATACAGTGATGCAGAAAAGTAAAGACCATATTTTCCAACTATTATATGACGTCACCAATCATCATATCCACAGACCAAGCGACGCAGTTGTGCGTCAGACATCTCTGTAGACCACTGCAGGGAATTCAGTGGCTTCAAATAGACCACTACAAAGATATGAGCATTTTAATAACATTAGAACCCCGACGCAAATATGCGTCGGCAGTCTATTTTAATGTGACTAGCCGACGCATATATGCGACGGCAGTCTATGGGTGGGAATCGGCCGTCGCATATGTGCGTCGCTGGTCCATGTGAATGGAAAATTTCGTACTATTGCAGTAGCGAACGTGTTAATAACCCGAAGACCAGGATAGGATTTACCAACTATAGGAATAAACCGTGTAAGCTTTCACAGAAAGCCATTACACTTGTTTTATATTTCTAACTGTAGATCAAATTACTTTTCTATTGTGAATAACTAACTTTTAAGCCAACAATGTACCGGTACTTCTAAGCTACTGTGTTCATGTGTCACTATGCTTTATATAATTCCTTTCAGATGTTTCTGCAGTTAAGTTATCGTGATATTAATATAGTAACTTAGCCTTTTTTTTGTGTTATTTCGAGTAAGTAAACTTCTTTTGTAAGAGAAAGTTCTAAACCCTGGTCATGTTACTATAGTTCGGCCGCTTAGAAAACGACCTGCGCGCTAATACTAAACCAATGCTGGAGGAGGTCGCTTTCTAAGCGGCCGAACTATAGTTAGTTACTATCTAATGGTAATCGTTTTGCTGGATAGCATCGTTGATTGGTAGTCCAATAACAAATTGCATCCAATAACGATCTGGCTTTGGAATCAAACGAGGAATCATAAGATTTCTTGGTGAGCACTATAACCGGGTAGCTACCCAAACAGATTATATAAATCATGTATTAATTATTATGGCCTGGATAGTAAACATCTCAACTGTTTTGGAATATAAATGGCATTGCTTACCAAACCAAGCTTCCTAGCAGTGCAGACATAAACGCTCTGGAAACCAAAAAATTATGTTAATCAAACAACTTTATCTCAATTAATTATCTTTCAAAAGCTGCAAATTATTACCAACGTTTGCAAATCATTGCCACATTCCATTGTTGTGGAGCATAGTTGGATACCACTGGTGATTTTTTAAAGCACCTTAATTTTCTGGTCTAAACATTTGCAACAGGTATATGTACTTAAGATTCGTTGAATGAAATCTAGTTATATGAAATGACCTCCTGATAAGATAAATGTGTGTAAACACCTGCCTTAGACAATAGATAAAAATAACAACATTGAAGGACAAAAAAAATTAAGAAAATACTTCTAGAAATAGTTCAAGAATGTGGTATCCATAATGACCTTACCCTACAGCGTTCATATTTTGCTTTTTCACATTTTTTTGACTTCTCTTCTTCCAATATTTCTTCTAAACATAGATCTACAAGAAAATGCATGTATGATTACCAAACCGAAAAAAGTTTAACTAAACAGGAAATATGTGGTTATGACACAAACACCAGTATAAGCAAACTCTTGTCTTCCAAATGGAAGTCCAAATGCCAAAGTTAATTTGGAAAATGTTCAGATTTACTTGCAATTTACTTTAAGTGTGAACATAAGTTGACTGATTCAAAGTGATGATACAGGGACACACACCAGCCCCCAATGACTATTTCATAAATGTGTTTTCAATGTTTTTGAGATTTTTATTAGTCACTGCATACAAAGGGTGTGCATTGGACATTGTCAATTTATTGTTAAGTCTAAATCCATAAAACTAAATATCGCCATTACAATCCTCCACTTCAAACATAAAGGTTTTCCCAGTTTTACTATAAACATATGAAGACTAAACCTTTGCCATGTAAATATATATAGAAGCTAACAATTTATAGCTTATAAATAAGTATGTATCAAGGAATACAGTAAATATCCTTGACTTTTAAGGTATACAAAGGTTATCAATGCACAGTAGTTTGATCAATAAAGCGAATAAACATAAACTGTTATTACAGCTTTTGCTTACCAAATGTCATAGATCCATCATCAAATTCCTTGTAACAATCTTTTAAAGCTGCAATCACATCACTAAATTTTGTCCGAAGCTGGAAAATTTAGACCTAATAAACATATTAAGTAATACAGCATTCAAATCTCATTCATAAAAATAAATTATCAAATACATTCAAAGCAGGTTTATAATGCATCTACAGGGATAGGGCAAAATATTTTAGCCATATCAAAACTCTCAGGTATGGTAACGTTAAAATGCTATTTTTCTAAAGATAAAACTCATCTTGAAAAGAAGAATTAATGTTCTAGATTATAAATTTAATACCCTGAATTCAATTAAAGTAAATTTCTTACTCGTAAAAGCGAGAAAAGTTTGCAGTCCAAAAATTCAAACATTTTATAAACATTGAAATTATCTTTCACTGTCACCTTTTGAAAACATCTATTTGTTGACAAAATAAATCATTTCAAACATTCACTTTATTTGGTAGGATATAGTACACACAAACAGAATTATCTTTATCCATTAGATTCAGTTATCTCAAAGAGTTATGAGTACTTTAGAAGTAACTGAAGTATCACTATCAATTATAATTACTTTGTAAAAACACTCAAGGCTGGGATTAAATATGAACAAGATAAAAAATTATTATTTTAAAGTGGGTTCGCTATAATTTCATATGTCTCAAGTTTTTAGTCCACTATATAATAATTATATTTTTATATATTTTATTGTTTGGAATATCCATCAAACACCCCAGAAAGTCATAATAAGTTACGTAACACTTATTTCTATTTTATCAATATTTAAAGCTATAATCCGACACTTCACTTAGTAAATTTAAACTAATCATTCACGCTGCTGTTTTCACCAATTGCAATCACATCGATTTCAGGCTTCACTTTGTCGTAAAGGTGGGGAAAAGCGCCTTCAGCTGAGTATTTTTTCCTCACTTGGTCATACAATTTCAGATCAAACATCTGTTCAAACTCCTCTCTTGTCATGAAGATATCTGCGTAGAGGAAAGAGAATCCTCTGATGCTGCGTGTGAATGCTTCCATCTTTCTCATAGCTTGTGTTGAGTTGTACTCTAACTTACGCTTCACATAGCCTGGAACTCCATAGATGCCTGAAAAACGTTTAAAGTAACTATTTAACACTAAATGAATGCAGTTTCTCAAATAACTCAATTGTAATAGATTGTGTCAATGAGAGCGGAGAGCGGTATGCACATTCTCACAAGAACCCTTCCAATACCACCGTTGTTTTATTATAATTTTGTAGACTTAACAATTAATAGTGGATTAATTTAATACCTCTAACTGTTCAAAGCCTGTCCCTCATCCACTTGCTATCTTAACTGATACAATTTTTACGCCTACCTCTTTTGTGTCTTTGAAAATTGGACTGTTAAGTGTGGTTATCACATTAAACACAAAGCGAGTTTACAAGTTACTAGTTGGTGCAAGCTCGCAAGCTGGTCCAGAGTACTCGCCGCACTCGCTCAATAGCTGCTATACAAAAAGTTCAGAAAAAGTTTAATTTGTTGGCTAGATTACATGCCACTCACCAAATTTTGAGCAAATAGCTTGTTTACTAACTAAAATTCTTTTAAAACCTCTGACATGGGTACCTTTAAGATGGTCCCAGGGCTGAACCCTAAAAGTTATTACAAAAGTAATTGTGTATAAACCTACTCTATGAAATTCTACATGTATGTACCAAGTTTCGTGGATATCGGAAGTGTCTGTGATTTACTGCCTGTGACAAATTTACAAATATACAAACCAACAAACTCTTTTATAAAATGATTAATTATTAATTCACAGTTGCTAGTGTACGTACAAACAGGTGTAGGGTTAGTCTTACGTCACAAGTTGTGTGTCGTACTCGCTGACAAAGTGACAAGTCTTCTATTTCACCTGCTGGCTAGTAGTTTTTAAACTTGCTTTGTGTATTTGTGACTCTAGGTTAAAGTCATGGTTCAGTAATGCAACAAACAATCCAAGGCAGCAATGTCTCGATGATGCCACTAGTATTTATAATATACAGATAATACTAATACTTTACTGACAAATCCGTTACTGTGCTTGATGTGTTAAATGCACAGGATTGAAATCCATGAGTACGGGGATTACGGTTACAATAGGCCCACCAATCTCATATAAAACTAGGAAAATTCAATCTCCTTAGACCATCTTTTATTGTATTTAAATAATGTGGTACTGTATCTTTCATATCCCGTAAAACTTTAATTAGCTAAATCACCACCATTACTTTAACAGAAAAAAGTGTGTACCATTCATGTTAAAGTTATTTATATCAGTACCATTCATTGAATATTTTCGACAACCACTACACAAGACTTTACCAATAATCAAAACTGTCTATTCTAAACTCACCCAAGTCATTATAGAGAGCGTAGTCAGCTCCAGGACAAAGACAGTCAGGGTTTGGTGTAGGTATTTGTCCTGAAAGTTCTCCTCTGTCGTAAACCCTACAAGGATACACCAACAGTGGATAGAGGTCAAACAACTCCTCTGAAAGGTCAATCTGCTCCTCTAGACTAGACATCGGCAACACAATGTCTTGGAAAACTTGCTTTGTGAACGTCAGCTTCCTGATTCCTGGAAAATTGAAAGAGAACTGAATATTGGTTTAGTGAGAAGTTTCTGAGAGTATTGAAAACAGTGTTAAGTGATTTTTACGTAAAGGACAGCAAAATGGGTTTGTTTAACTATCGATTGTCTCACAACCTGAATGATAATAATGCAAATGTTTATACTAAAATACGAGGAGTGGGCTATGTAATCATAATTTGGAATAGGACTAAAATTTCTTATCCTCAATCGATATCAGAGAGTATAGTTTCATTCAGAGAGGAGGATAGATTTGATTCTCGGCGTATTCACAAATTTTAAAGGACATGGACCACTTTCAGTAAAGCATTCGGGATTCTTCCATAAAGAAAATTCACAGGTCTGGACATTGAAAAAGTTCTAAACCTTTACTGATTGAAAATTATCTTTATACTCATATTTACCTTTAAAGTAACAAAACAACTGAATATTTTACTAACAGCCAGTGGCGAGGTATTAAGAAGCTAAAGTCTAACTTAAATATTAATTTTAGCATGTAATTGTCTACATGAGTAATCTGACTTTTCTAAACTAACACACATAAAAGTAGTACCTGGTGTTGTTGTGAACTTCAAAAAAGCTATTTTGGGTGGTAAAAGCCATCCAAAAAACAAACGAAACAGTTCATTGTTCCCAAAAGGAAGCATCGACTCCATCACCCAAAATATGGACCTGTTATGTCTCAGAAGATAATCCTCCAACGGAATCAACTCTTCAGTATTTCCCCTCTTCAGAAAAGTCTCTACGTATTTATAAAACCAAGGTTTGTACCACTTCTTGACATGCTTCACCTTCAAGCGATCTGTTGCGTTTGAAAACCATCCAGCTAGAATTACAGCTTCTTCTTTACTGTAGATTATAGCTTCCAAAAAGTCAGGAGTATGTTTATCTTTGTTGTTTGCTCCTGCTAGTTCCCTCAGTAGTGTGCAGTACCTCTTCTTTCCTCTCATAGGGATGTAGTTCATGTGTATGTAAGGTTTGGCTGGAATGATTTCAAGCTCGAGTGCAACTAAGAGTCCTAATGTTCCGTGAGACCAAGGCAACGCTTGGTGAAGGTCTGAGTGCTCATTGTCTTTAGTTACATGTATAAGTTTGCCATTTGCTAAGATAACATCATATGATATGACACTCTCTTGGAATAGTCCTACCTTGTGTGAGTGAGTGGTCATCCCCACACCCATAGCCAGTCCACCAAGTGTCGCTTCGGCTATTTCCAAGTGCACTGCCAATATGTAACCTCTGGGTAACAAATATTTAGTTATCTCCCCAACAGTCACGAAAGGCTCTACTTTCACTTTAAGTTTTTTCTCATCTAAACCCAATATATCGTAAAGGGGTATTGCTATTTTATGACAATTATTTTTTTGAAAAAATGTTGTCGAAAGACTGAGCCAATTTGCTCTAGCAGTGCAGAGGGGTTTTCTGTTGTTTTTAGAAAGTTTGTTCCAATATTGTATGTTCTCTTGAACATCCCTGACCTTAGCCTCATGATCCCTGTTAAAGGTAAACTTTCTAACATAGAAATAAAATTTGAGGAAAAAATCAAATATAAAACTTAAAGGTAAACAAAACACTAGCACTATAATCCCTCTGTGTTCTTCTAGTACAGAGAAACACCACTGTTTAACACTGGCCATCTAGTAGCGATGGGAGTACTGGCAGATAACTACAAGCCAAAACACAGCTGTGACTTCATTGAGTAAATATTGAAGTAATCATTATCTCTAGATAAAAGAATTTAGAGGATTCAGCCCCACTCATTGAAAACTACGGTACCGTATTTTAAAAGTGTGAATAAATAAAACTGCTACAAATTGTACATAAAATACTGAGGGAAATTGAACAAGAGTATAAATATTATAATATTCATTCTGATAGCCCCTGAACTATGTATATATGACATTTCAGGCTAGCCTCCTTAAGTAGTCCAAATTGGGTCAAACTTGAATTACTTAAAACTTAAAGTAGGTAATTGAAATTTGGCTCAATTTAAACTACTTACGACGAAGGTAAGCCTAAAAGATTATGTAAATATTACTTTAAATTGATACTTTTACTTTTATACATAAGTGAATTTTATGCATTATCATATGCACCAGTTGATGACAATCAATTATAGTTAGGAGAAAAAATTTACAAAAATAAAATCTGCGATTATTTACCTTTACTTTACACACAAATAAAAGTTCTCCTAACACATTCCATACATGAATGAATATATCCATAGGAATGAATATATTTTTTTAGAGATGAATATAAGCAAACAAAAAGAAACTAGCTTAACTTTGAAAGAGTGTAATATTCAATAACATTCAGTAACACAGCATTATTCCACGGAACTATCAATTGAGCAATCAGATATAACAGCCAAACAACCAACTCTGCAACACGCACATTGATCAACTTTGCCTGTTTCGTCCAAAATAGTCTGTTTTGAGGTTTCAATATGTAATCCGTTGTAAAGTCCTACATCAGACTCTTTTTGCACGGAAGTCCTACTACCAATGATCTTTTGATCATTATTTAACAAGTCATAGGCTCTTGAAAGACAATTTTTCTCATCTTTACAATGTACTGAAGAAGTTTCAGTATGAACACTGTTCTCTAGATTTGTTTGATCATTTATTTGTTGTTGGGATTGATTGTTTACTATTTTATAATGTAAATTTCTCAATAGTGTTTCAATGTAGGTTTGGTCTGATTCAGCAAATTGTGGTTTGATATTAGCCTCATTGGAAACTGACATGTCTAGGGAATTAGATTTGTTATTAATATCAATGATCTTAAAATCTGCTTGGGGAAATATTGGTATTTTTTGATGATCTTCTATTAGTGGGAAATTTACAGGATTGGGTTTCCCCTCTCCTAGCTTATCGATCAACCTTTTGGTCCCAACACTACAAAACCAGATGTTTGTATCTTTTGACATATTCTTGTGATCAAGTTCAACATATTTTGCTTTACACAATTTGTCAATTCTTTTGTCATTCAATCTTTGGAAGGAAGAATGGATTTCTGCTTGTTTTTGAAAGTCGGAAGATTCTTGATTTATAGTTGGGTTGAAATCAAATATTTTTGTGTCTAGATCATCAGCATCATTTGAATTTTCTTTGTTATCATTTCTGATCAAATGATTATTACACGGATGAAGTTTGAACAACTGCGGAAGTATTTGTTTATAAAAATCTCTTCCATTTTTCTCATAAAAGGATTCATTTTTCAAATTGTTCTGTAAAATGTCTACATCTTTGACACTGTTTAGACCAATATGATTCTTCAAATGAAATTGTCTAGTTTTACCCATGTTTGATTCATTCTTTAAATTGTCATTTGCACATGAATAACTAATATTGTTATTGAAAAATACTATTGGCAACCCACCAAACACATTCTTAGTACACAAATTTTCTTTTACATCAGGAAGAGTTCTTTTGTACTGTCCTTTCACAGTGAAGTCTGACAAGTCTGTGGACTTTTCACAATTATTTATTCCTAATACATGTTTATCAAACACTTTTCTCTGATCTTTATTCAAGTAGTTGACGTTGCTTGTTATTCCAAAGAGTTGGGTTTTTCTAGTATCTTGTTTGGTTACTGAATGATCAATCTTATAAAACTGTTCTCCTCTACCAAGTGATGTTAACTTTGTAGGTGATATACCACACTGTAGAAAGTTTAGTTCATCATAACAATCGGTTTTGCATTCCCCACAATCTCCCCATTCCCTTTGGCCACTGTTAAGTTGATACTTATTTGAATTGAACGTTTCTTCAAGCAGCAAAGATGATTTGGTCCCTTTGGATTTTCCACTTGTACATTGAGAACTTGTGTCCCTGTGTTCATCAGTTATTAAATTGTTGTCAAGCTGAATAGTTATGCTCAATTGTTGTTTTGGTGACTTCACTGGGAGAGAAATTGTTGTTTTCTTAAAAGACTTTTGAGTTTGGTCTAGTGATCTTTCACATTGATCATGAGTTATATCAAGTGTAAATAGGTTCACATTTACTTTACTATCCCCCTTGGAGGCACCATCTGAATCATTCCAATCATCACTTCCTTCATCAGGTTTTAAAGATTTGGATGATATATGTGACAAATTATTATTGTTCTTTAAACTTTCTCTTGTACAACTAACTTTGGAGTTACAGCATCTGCCCTCACAGGATGTTGACTCATCCAATTCATGTTTCTCCGATGTCACTTCAATACGTTCTTCAGATATGTTGTCTTCAAGATTTTTTATCTTAGTTATGGATTGTATCTTAATACAGCTTGTAGTTTGAAATTCATTATTGCTATGTTTACTGACAGCATCCTTTGAGCCATTGACACCGTTAATTTCTTCGATAGCATGAACCAGGTACATCTTAAGTTTATCTCCCGCCTCTGAAACATTTTCTACCAATTCCCTCTTATTTTCATTCAATTCACTATTGGCATGTGATTTCAATGCATGATTTGAAGGTAGACTGAAATGATTGTCTAGCCTTATCATATTATCTTCACAATTATTTTGATTGTCGTTTTTAACAGTAGTTTTTGTAAAAATGCTTCTGACTCTAGCCGCATCCATGTTCATTGTTTCGTCATATTTTTTATCACTATCGTAATTTTTTTCAAACTCCAATTGTTGTTTGTGGTCTTTAATTTCTTTAAAATTGGAATTTTGCTCATGAAAATTGTGACTTTTCGACAAAGAGCTAAACAACTGTAAAATAGTATCACACCCAGCTGACGGGTTTGCTTCAAACAAACTTTCCTCTGATAAATCTCCCGGGATTATTAAATGATGGTTTTTAATGAGCAAATCTGGATCGTTTAGTAATGGTACAGATTTACGGTAATCGTTTTTGTTTTCTTGTTTGCTTTTGTGCTCTTTCTTTGTTTTTAGATTATTTTTTAAATCACAGACCAAGGATGTATTTTCATGACTAAGTTCAGTTATAGTATGCAGATTTTTATGAGGTCTAACAACCTTTTCTTTATTTACCTTAACTGTTTTAGGACTACCTGGAGAAAATTTTGTTCTCTGAGCATTACTAGGCAATTGAGTATTTACATTATACTGGGAATTTAGTGGCTGTGAAGGTGATCGGGTAAAAAGATCATTTTTCTTACATATAGTAATTTGATTTGATTTATTATCTATTGATATTGATGCAAAATTAATCGATTTTGGTTGTTCATTCATTAATTTGGTTTTGGGTAAAAGAGAAACATTATCAGAACCTGTCTGATCATTTCTTTCAAAGCTTTTGGATGAGGTTTCTTCTGTGTTACTGGTATTGGATGTTTTCCTTTTCTTTAAACCTTTTTTTCTTAAATAAACCACCCTAACTTTCTTTTTTGGAATAAGTAGCTCTAATTCCTCAGTTTTTGCCTTTATATCATTTTCAGTTAGTTCGTTTAGATTATTTTTATCTTTTGCATTATTTTTTTCAAGTTTGGTTATCTGAGCTCCTGTATTGTTTATAAAAGCTATAACTTTGGGCTTTTTGAGATTAAATTGTGGTTTACTGGTACTAGTCTTGATCAATCCTTTTTGTGATTTGTCAAAACTATCACTTGTCTTGTTTAGTTCAAATGTTTTGACATCTTTATGGTGATTGTTTGAATTGTTGTTTATGCCATTTAATAGCTGTGTATCAAATGAAAACTTTCCGTTCTTCAGATTTTGTTTGATTAACTGTATCTGAGCAGGGTCGAAAACCGCACCTTTTTCCAGGTTCATTGAACCAATGTTGCTCATGTCTAAGCTAGTAAGGTCAATTCCTTTAAGTTTCAGTATTTTCAATGTTAAACTATTGAGTTTTGGTGTTGCATTGCTGTTTGAAGTTTGTTTATCATTTTTATTATTTTGTTTACAAACCAATTTCCAAAATGATGACATCCCTTCAGTTTTGGTTAAGTCTATTGAGCAAATACTGGCTGATTCTTTAGTGGAGAAATGCTTTGGCATCGTGTTAAACTTACTTTCACTTTTAATACAAATAAATGTGATGTTAATACTAGTAATTTTAAATGTGATTGATCCACTAAAAATTTGTATTCAAAATAACCTAAAAGACAAATACTTTGTTTTTCATAAATTGGATGTCAAAATAGAGCTCAGCTGGTCAAAGTTAATCATTTATACTAATACATAGACCTTTAAGTTACTATTCAATTTTAGGGTATTTTCATCAATATTTGTTTTTTGACACCCACCATTCTGAAACAGGTGCCCAACGTGTTCTCCAATTAATTTGTTAGACTACAACCTTTCTTTGACAAACCAAAAGTTAAGTCTAATTTTTAAGTGACAAAACTAAATGAAGCTCTCTGACTCAGAGTTTGGTTTGATAGCAAATCTGTCATCAAATGATTACAATCTTATCTGAGGCAGTTGCTTTAATAGCTGAGTTGTGCAACACTAGTGCAAGCCCTCCTGAAGTGTCCATCTCACGGGTGCCTTTGCTCCGAGTGCCCAGTGAAAAGATGGAACAAACCAAAATTTTGTTGTTTTTAGCCGCTTTGGTTTCTTTTGTTACGCAGTATGCTGAGGGGGTAAGTAACATTACTTGTTTGACCTTGTTACTATTTGAGAAAAATTACTTCCTTGTTTACACATTGTATTTTTCAAAAGTAAAAGTGTAAAGTAGAAAATGTAAGCATTTTCCTTACTCATGTGGGGGGGACACATCATGACCCTAAAGCCTGATCCATATGTTGATTGATTATTCCTCAATTTGTTATTACAGTTGTTACACAGTTGAAGAAAGAGGGTTGTTCTTGAACTAAATATTTACAATAACAAGTCTGAGCACTTACTATGCACCCAAAATATGTCTAAATAACTCTACAAAAACAGCAAAAATCTAAAGACCTCTTACATCTTATCTTAAATCATAGTGTTGTTTGGATGGAAAGGAAATCATTAGATCTGTGTGGGTAGTACAAGTAAAACTTTTCACACTAAAGTGATAGTTAAAGTTCATCATGAGTCAATAAATCATGTTTTAATTACCGTCCCAAGGTCAAAAAAGCATTTTATTATTCACAGGAATAAACGTAGGCCTTAGTTGTTTTAATTTATAAATTCCTATATAAGAAACGTTTAGCTTACCAATTCAAATTTTTTGGAGTTTATATAAACCCAATTTAGCTAGACAATTTAACTTATAGAACTTATGCCTTGAGCTATATGTACCTTACAAAAATATTTCCTGGGGCTCTAGTATTTGTAACAGTAGTTGAAAGTATACTGTGTATGATGCAACCTGTCTTCTGACCGTTCGTCCACCTGGGAACTAGCCAATGATTTATGGCTCAGGTAGACGAAGGGTTAGGAGACAGGTTCCATCATACAGACTATAGTCATGTTTTGCAGGCTGCATTGTTTAACCGCCTGATGGGAAAGATGTTTGCTACTGTATCCATGTGCACAGACGATCTTCAAGGCAAACTTTCCCCAGGTAAAAAGTCTTTGTATACAGTTGTCATATAAAAGATAAGTACTTTGCTCATGGCACAAACGTTATTCTATTTTAAAGGTTGTAATTTTTGTACTTATATTATTGTAATCAAGGGAAATAATAAAACAGTTAAAATGCTGATATTTCTGACACATAAATAATACTTCCATAGACATTTCAGAGTATGCTTAATCCATGTTATCTATAAGGTTAAAATGACTTAATTTAATCTCTGTTATCAAACCACTGTTTTACCTCTGTTAATTCAATATGAATTTGAATTGATCTTATTATATATGATTATAGTATTATATTATATGATTAAGTATTATAGAGACACTTTTGCTCCGTGTGATGAACAACTATTTTCATCATACTGTGGAAATAACCTTCCAATCCTTCAAAATTAGACAGCATAATTTGAGGTTATACAAAGTCATCATCAATGTTTACATTTCTGTTGTTTACAAACATAACTTAAAAATATGTTGTGATTAGCAACGTTTTCATGTGTGTTTCAAATTAAACAACATTTATAATGAGCCATTAACATATTTTGAGTTTAGCAAACCAAAAAAATTTACCATAATATGTTTTTTCTGTTCCCTATTTGAAGTTACCCGTAAAATATGATTTCGCGGATGATTTAGAGAACTAAAACGGCTTTTTTTCCTGACAGTGTGATGAAATATATTTATTTGTTCAAACAGTCATCTTGTTGTAGCCTACTGGACCAAATACACTAGCTTTAAAAAATAACTTATTCATGAATTATTTATTCTTGAAACCTTCTTATTAAATATACTGTAACAAATTTAAAATTAACATTCTACTCCTTTGCTTTCAGAACTGTGTCTGTCTCAGTTTGATGGTGAAAACAACCCAAATGACTCTCAATTTGATGGATGCAAGGTAACTAAATAAACAAAATTGGAAAAAAAATTAAATGAGTCGATTGACCAATCCAGTTTTTACTTGAATTATCGGTCATTGTACAGTATATAATTGGTACTCACATTCATTTAGATAGGTCTACTGCCAATGCACATACATAGCAGATTTAGTACACCATTACATGAAATCGGTGTACTGTAGTATTATTTATCTTTTTGAACAAAATAACTATTATGCACTTATCCCCTTAAGATTGGCATTTCATTCCCATACATGACAGAAGTTTAATTCAACATAATTATTTGCTAATTTATACCTTATGAACTCCAGGACTAAAAAATATTATTTTGGGGTTGACAAATATTTTGATTAAGTTATTGGAGTTGAAAACTGTTCAACAAAACATCTACACTCAGACTAACAACTAATTTTTAAGTTTTAACAATTTGTGTCCTTGAACATTGTATTGTATATTTCCAAGTAATGGAAAATAGGAATTATGAATAAAACATTTTATTTGTTTCAGCAAGCAATGACATGTGCAGTAAAGAAACTCAACTACGTAAGTAGTCTATAGTTTACAACACTGTAAGTAATAACATTCAGCTTCAAGGTTAGGAAACTCAATTTGAATATGTAACGCTATTGCACAATTTTTTTTAATTGGATGTCAAAATCAATTTTATTTAACTCCACAAAGGATAAACCTTTGTTGTGTTGGATATTTTTAAAGCACCTTAGCCATATACAATAGTGTGATTTTTTTAGCCTACTTTCTAAATCTTGGTGCTTATTTGAAATTTGAAAATCTAGGTTATTAGGAGTAATCCCTACTTTTTAACCGATCATACTGTTAGATGACAGAGGAGGGCAGATGGAACCAAGAAAAGTTAGCTTCACTCAAAGACGGCATTAAGGATCAAGAGGCAATAAACGAATTTGACCAGACATTCCAATCATGTAGTTCAGGTATGTACATTATAATACCAGTCGTTAAAATAATACTGCAAACAACTTTGTAACTTAAAAAATCAATAAATTTGCATTGAAAATTCTTCAACTAATAAGAATTAACCTTAATAGCTTAGAAATTAGCTGAATTAATTGGTTCACAGACGCTACAGAACCCTGCTTGGTGTTCAACCCTGCTCAGATACAGTTAATTAAACAAAATATGGCAATGCACCGATACTAAACAGCAATAAAAAAATGTAAACAAACAAAATGATAAAAGTACTTAGCATTTTGGATCAATCAATTCACTAAGTGATAGTTCCATTAAGTCACAAAAAGGATTGAGTCTAGTACCAGTAAACCACAGTTTAATTTTGAGGGACCCAAAAAGTTATAGCTTTTACAAACAAGAAGTAGAACAAAATTAAAGCAATAATTTTAATACAAGGGAAGATTTGAACACATTATTAGCAAATGACGTAAAGAATGAGTGAGGCAAGTCAGTAAGCGCCACGAAGCCCAAAGCACCAATGTGCTGGGTTCAGATCCTGGTACCTGCGACTACTTTTTATCAGTACAGTACACCTTAGTACTGTACTGGCTCACCCCCTTGATTTGCTGGATACATTCCATGCACAGATATAAGTAACAGTGTGGACAGGCAAATGCTGAGTTTAAAGAGACTGCAAACCTCATTAAAAAGTTAAATAAAACTGAATGGTTAGAGATAGGATACTTAAAATTTAACAAAAAAGGAAGTTACGGTGGTTTATTTTAGAATGAAAGATTCTAAAAATAGAAAATCATCAGGCAATGCAGAAGAAAACTTGCTTCTATTGGTAACTAGCTTGACTGAGTATAAATTATATTTAGTTATGGTTAACAACATCTGAAATCTTGAATGACAAAACGACAATTTTTAGTTCCAGGAACTGACGGAGACGCTGTGATCAACATGATATCTTGCATCATCAACAACTCAGACAGGGTAAGGGAATTTGTTATTGAATAGATATGAATACTGTATCACTAAAAGAAAAGGAAAAATGTATTCACTTGCTGGATTTACTGTTAGCTGGGCGTAAGGACTGCCATTGTAACATTTTACCCTACCTGGCTAATTTTTACTTTGATCTTTCTAATAAAACTTAGCAGCTAGGTTATTTCACAATTCCTGTAGACTCAAAAAAATATTAACTAATGGGGTAGCGTAGGTGAAGGATTCAGATTGTCTTAAAATTTATATTTTAACTGGTCAGATATATAGTCTTCAGGGAAGTTAAGATTGATTATCCAGGCAGACACCAGCTAATCTGAACTAATTGTCTTAGGACCCTGGGATTGCCAAATGTTTGTTGTTGGGATTGGGTTGGGACAACCAAATTGTTCGGAAATATTTGTACAAAACTTTTTTGATTAAATATGTTGTATTAATAATCTACTGAAAAACTAAGTCTACATTTTTTCCTTTTTTCAGGCAAAGCAAAGCTACAATGAACTCAAAGAAACCTTCATGAACGGATACTAAGCATAAGTACATGGTCCGAAAGCAAACATATTTTACATATAAAAATTTAAGTAAAAGGCTTTGTTTTTATGATCAGTACCCATACTTTATTATTGTAGAGACTGTACTAAGTTGAAATTAAATTAAGTTTATTAGAGGTTACTCAGCTTTTAAGCTAAAACTAATTAATTAAATCTAAGGAAAAAATATAGATTTTACTAGTTTTTCGTTCCATCAAAACTAAGTGCAAAAGTTTTGCATTTATCACTACTGTTATCTAACTGAAATCATACAAATTCCTAAAAAAAATGTTCATGCCCTACATCAGTAAGATGAATTCTTCGTTGTCTTTTAAATATAAAGTTCTACTGGATGAATACTTAATGTTAACCCCCAATGCTCATAAAGGCAGGCTTTATGACAAAGTCATTAACAAATAAAAACAGATTAGTTTTATTAGAAATGTAAAACAATAAATACAAATACTTTTAGGTGGGTCATGGTAAACATCTTGTTTGTAGGAAGTCTTTGTAGAACTTTGCAGATTTCTTCGGAGTCCTAGGTCTAGCAGGGTCTTCAAAATCAACATGATACAGACCAAACTTTTCCCTGTTGAAAAAAAATTGTTATAGCATTAGAGACCTTCTGTTTTATTTTGGCTTTTCATTACTTAAAACTGACACAACTCTTGAGTAAAGATATTAAATTATGTTTCTAATATGTGTGTTGTATCTTGAACACTTTGTTAAAGATAAACATTCTATTCTTATTTTTCTTTTGAACATTTGCATCTTTGGTTTTTTTATTCAAACTAAACCGATATTTTAAAATGAAGGCGACGCTTAAAAGGTTGACCTGAAAATTTAGAGTACTCCTAATTATCAGGGGGGCACTTTAGCATTCCCTTGAGGGGATTTTGCTTTATTGATAAATTTTACTAGAAGAGACTTATAGTTTTTCAATCTCTTCATATTTATAACTTCAACAGTTTTACTAGATTTATAAGACCGTAAGTAACATAAACCTACGTATAGCCGCAGTCCCATTCATAACTGTCCAGAAAACTCCAAGCTGTGTATCCTTGGACATTGCAGCCTTCCTTGATGGCCTCCAGGATCTGCTTTAGATAGGCCTAGGAAACAATTAATCAAGTAGTTATAGAAAGCAATTGTGACAGAGAAATTCAATGAAAGAGTCTAAAAATGTCAAAATTAAATTGATTATTGAAGGCTTGCATTGGAAATATAAAACAGAATAATGTTTCTTGACAGTTTCAACGTTCATTCAAAACAAGCCTGTTTGAAATGGGTTTTACACTTTAAAGACACTTTTTACACTTATTGGTGTACTTAGATCAATAAATTCAATCTTCTACCAATTTTAATTTGTAACAGATCATATACATTTATAAATAACTATTCATTTCAATGAGTTTTTATATAGAGAAGTAATTATTATTTTGGCTTCAGTAAAACTATGGGCCACTTTTCTTTTTTTAAAGCCTTAAGAAACCAGTAACATAGTTTGACTAGATTATTAAATACTTATAATTTATATTTGTACTGTATATGTTTGTGTCTCATTGTCTTAAAAATTAGTTCTTATTTCTGCTTGAGATTCATTTTCTTGAATCTTGGTGGAGATTGACTAGAGAATCGCCATAAATTGTCATAAATTGTTGACATAAATTGCCCCATTATTTTACATGAGCTTTTAGTTTCTCAATGCCTCTCAAAACGAACCTTGTGATATTCTACTTTGTGATTGTCCTCAAGTTTGTGAGGATCAGAGCAACCATTTTCTGTGATGATCACTTTTGGATTTCCGTAGTTCCTTCTGATCCACTGCAGAATATTCTTTACACCTTCTGGTTCAACCTGAAAAAGGTTAGTCTATTTTACCAGTTCTAGTGTTGAAATTCCAAATATAAAAATTAATTCATAAAAGCTGAGTAACACGGATTACTGTTACCCACGGGCTTCACCCCATTTGACTTCATAAGTATTAAATTAATAAAACTATTGATTAGTTAAGTTAAGCTGAAATAAACAAAACATAATACAAACAAATAATCCCACCTGATTTTAATAAGTTAATAAATTAAAAGTATAACAGACAAATAAGTTAGGTAAAAGGAAAGTCCCCTTTAGAAAGGAATTACGACCTTAACCCTCGAGTGGGCGCTTGCGGAGTTTTCCTCTGCACTTGTAGTGTTTGTTAATATAAATATGCATAATGGGTGTCGGCAGTCGTGTCCAGCTCTACACTTCACGCACCTCATCCTGGGAATGCTCCTAAGCTATTTTTACCCCGAATTCCTCCTCATTTTGTTGTCAGCTGCAATTCAGTGACGCGGTGTCAGTTTGCGGAGGTTTACTCCACGTGCGCTCTATCGCGTAAGTCCTTAGCGCAGAGTTTATTTCCTCATGCACTCATGTCAAACTGTGTGTATATTTTATACATACAACATTATAAACTTGTTTAAGTTGTATTATTTCATTTATAATTATTATCAAATATATTTTGTTTGCATGTATAGTTGCATTATTGTGGAACAAAACTCCGCAAGCGCCCTCTCTCGTAACTTAGGCCTACCTTTATACTAGAAAATTGTTCAATATGTTTATTTGAAATATTACTCATATTAAGTTAAACAAATAATGTTATTAACAAAGAAATTGGGTTTCTGATTAGGTTATTCAACACTTACATATAATATTTCGTTATAACAACAAGTAAAATGGGTCAAATTCATGCTGTTTAGTGTTGCGGAATAAAACTCTGCATGCGCCCGCTCCCGTTTTACTGGTGAAGCACCTCCTTGAGGGTTAAAGGGCAATCTATGAAATAATGGTTAGTACGACAAATCAAATCAAATCAAATCAAATCAAAAATTCTTTATTTATTTCATGCACATAGGTACATATAAATAGTGTCAAAAAATTATATTAAAAATACATCAGTGTTTGAACCTTAACTATTTTAACATAATTTGTCCTGAAATATACTTTTTATTTCTTTTGTGAACAAAGGTGGAAAAACTCATCTAATGAATATATTGGTTTGTTTACTATGTACTCTTTGAGTTTCTTCTTAAATTTTTCAATATTCTTTTCAGACTTTATATTTTTTGGTAAATGCATAAAGAATTTCTTTCCCGAATATGTTGGTTTTTTCTCGTAAAATTTTAATCTGTGATGATTTGGGATAATTTCATTTTTATGCCTTGTATTATACTTGTGGCATATGGAAGATTTAGGACTTACTGCCTCATTTTTAGAAATTAGTATGCAGTCATAGATGTATTGTCCATAAACTGTGGGAATTTTAAGATTAACAAAGTGTTCCTCTTTCGCTGATTGATCATAATTTAGTTTAAGAATGATTTTTATGGCTCTTTTTTGTTCTTTCAAAATACTGTCTAAATTTATTTTCCCTGTTGCTCCAAAAAGACACAATCCGAAACTTATGTGTGAGTGAATGTATGAAAAATAGATATGGCGTAATGTCTCCAATCCACAGTATAACGACATTTTCCTAAGAGCATATATACCAGAGTTAACTTTTGATAACACCTTACCTACATGATCATTCCAATTTAAATTTGCATCCACTGTTAAACCAAGGAAGCATGTACTTGTCTTCTCCTCAATCATCTGTGAATCTGACATAATAATTAAATTCTCATTTTTTTTATTTTGTGCAGTTCTAAATTGCATGAAGTTAGTTTTTAGTGTATTTAGTAACAAATTATGATTTTTTAAGTAATCGTTTAAATTTTCTAGCTCTACAAAAGATCGTATTTCCATTTGTTCTATTGAGTTTGATGTTATTTTTAAATTGGAATCATCAGCGTACAGATAAAGCTGACTGTTGTTCTTATAAGACAGAACCTTATTTATATCCTTGAGATATATTATAAAAAGCAAAGGTCCTAATATTGATCCCTGTGGGACACCATATTTTACTAGTTCCAGGTCTGAAACTATATTTGTTGATTTGTTATTCGGTGACAAATGTTTTACTTCTACATACTGATACCTATTTACAAGAAATGTATTGAACCAATTTAGAGATGTTTTTGAAATGCCAATATTCTTTAATTTTTCTATTAAAATTAGATGATTAACACTGTCAAATGCTCTTGAAAGGTCCATAAATATACCTGTTGTATGTTTGCCCTCGTCAACTGACTCTATTACTGATTCTATGAAGGATACTGCCGCACTAATAACAGATCTTCCTGACCTGAAACCGTGCTGTAAGTCATCAAATAAGTTGTGTTGCTCTAGATATGACGTTAATTGTACAGAAACTATTTTCTCAAATATTTTAGAAACAGAAGGAAGCAGAGCTACGGGTCTATAATTAGAAACATTTTTAGGATCATCTTTTTTATGGATTGGAATTATTTTGGCTATTTTAAGTTGGTCCGGAAACAAACCAGAAATGAAAGAAGAATTAATCAGGTGACATAAAACTTTCGTTAAGTATTGGCTTGCTCCCTTTAATACTGTAGTAGGCACTTCATCATAGCCACTTGAAAGCTTATTTTTCAAACTGCTAATGACTTTTTCCACCTCATGTTCATTTACAGGATTGAGTCTAAAACATGTACTTAAGAATGAGTTCTTTTCTAATTCTTTGTTTAAATGTATATGATTACTAGTAGTTATATTCTTAACAACATTTGTAAAATACCTATTAAACATATTTGAAACATCCTTAGGATTAGTTATATCATTTAAGCCATCATTTAACACAAACTTTCTTATTGATCTATTATTCTTTACAACTTCTGAATTTATTATGTTCCAAACAGTTTTTTGAACATTTGATGATTTATATATTTGATCTTCATAAAAAGTTGTTTTAGCCTTTTTTATATGATTCCTAAATGCTACTTTTTGTTGTTTTAGTATTGGTTTTAATTTTGTGTTTTTACTTTGCCTGAATTCATTAGTTAGTTGTATTATTTCTTGTCTTTTAGTTTTTATTTCATTTGACATCCAATTTGAATTTTTGTTCTTTTTAGTTATCAATTTCTTTGGAAATGCTAGTTCAAAGTAATATCTGAAAATTTCATTGAAAATACTATACTTTTCTTCGACTGGGGCAAAATATACTTCTTCCCATGTTTCATTTTTTAATAGGTCTGAGAAATGGGCAATGTTTTCTGGAGAAAACTTACGTACCTCCTGCTTCAACATCTTATTTGTGGTATTGTCATTTGAATTTAGATTATTGAAAGATAATACTTGTCCATCATGATCTGACAAGCAGGATACTATTCCTTCTATTGAAATGTTATAATTTTCTTGATTTTTTATAAAAAAATTGTCTATAGCTGTTTTGGAATTTTCTGTTATTCTAGTTGGAAAAGTGATCAAATATTTCATATTATGGCTTTTTAGAACGTATTTTAGGCATTTGTGCTTATCATCATTTTTCAAAACATCTATATTAATGTCTCCTCCAATTATGATATGTGTGTATTTCTTGTTAAAAAAGTCAATAAAAATACTTAATCTATCCAAAAAAGTTTGATAATCTGAACTAGGGGATCTATAGACACCAACTATTAAAAACCTAAAATTACATTTAACAAAACTATAAGCACAGAGCTCAAACTGTTTTTCTTCTATAAATCTATTTGACAAAAATTCGGGAATATCCACCTGTTTCCCTTCAATACCCATCTTGGACACAATCATGACACCGCCTTTAGAGGAATTTTTTCTTGAAAACGATACATTAATTTGATAATTTTTTATGTTAACCCTAGTGATTTCATCTGGTTTCAAATCATGTTTAGTTAGTATTATTACATCTGGATTTAATTCATCTATGGTTATTTCTAGTTGCTCAATTCTTGATTCTAAATGTTGTATGTTTTGGTGGAAAATTTTGAATTTTGAATTTTTAATTAGTCCTATCTTTTTATTTGTGGTGTCTTGTCCAGTAAGTTTAAAGAGGAATCAAGTGGATTTATTACAAGATTGTCCTTATCACTATTACTACTTTCTATTACATTATTATTTAAACTTTCACTGCTCTGCTTTTTTAAAACACTTTCCGGTATTTTTATCACTTCACTAAATAAAAGATGACCTGGAACTGTTGGTGGGCTGCTGGTGCTGATGGTAGGGTTGTTGGGAGTTATCGGCTGGGGTTGAGGTCTGCTACGTGCTGGTGAAGTTAACAATGATGAATTTTCAACAGGGTTGTATTGTATTTGGCACCTCTGTATGTACTGATCAATGATTGTTTGTTTAAGATATTTGATGAATGTTGATTGTTTTAATCCATTTTTTTTAAAATTTATTTGATATTCTTTTGCCTGTTACAATGATCACAGCAGCTCCTGTTAGTTTTTGAAATTCCAATACGTTTGAGACAAAATGAGCGGGAGTGACACGATCTCTGTTGCAGCCCATAGTTGAGCAAATTAAAGTTTTTAAATTACGAGTTTTAAAATCATCAGTTAGTTGAGAGAAGGCCAGATCATAGTTTGTTTTATATTCAGAAAAATTGTTGGCATTTTGAAAATATTTGGGCTTTGTTACAAGACTGTACACAGCGGCTCCCTGTACAGTTTTCTGCTGATCAAAATCTGCTGAAATACAGTGAGCATATGCAACTTCTGGGTCACTGCTATTCTTCTCAATGTATGTATCCATGTCTTCCTCCATTACTTTTAAGAATATTTTTGTTTCAATTTCTGCCAATTCTTTTGTACGGTTTAGATTTAATGCTAGATCTGCTATTCTTCTGCTTAGCACCTGCTTCCCAAGCTTATTCAGGTGTTGTCCGTGAACAGTGAAAAATTTACGTTTAAAGTCACTAATATTTATTAAATTGAGATGTCTCATTTGTTTCAATTCACAGTTGATTTTGTGAATTTCTTTGTTTAAAGGGTTGTCACGTGCCAAGTCAAAACGGTAGGGTTGCGTCACATAGATAAAATTTGTATGACTGTTTGCTTTAGAAAAATTATTCAATGTAACTGGAATGTTTTCTTCCTTAGTTTGAACTTTCTCAGTGATGTCTTCAATGTTATTGGCTCCTGCAATAATGACAGCTATGTCATTCTCGTTGAAGTCCCTTACAATGTTTGCAGTTTTCTGTAATATATGGTCAAGTTTTCCCCCAGAGCTTGCTGAAACAAAGGTGTCAATAGATCGAGGTAGCAATGACTGTAATAAATTTCCTAATCCTTTTCCATGGCTGTCTGCAATTACATACACTTTGGTCCGCCGAGGTAAGCTCCCACTTGTTTGTGTGGAGTTTATCTTGTTTTCAATTGGAGCATGTTTTCTATCTTTAAACATGTTAGGTTTAGCAACATGTTTTCTACTTTTATTCGGCATCTGCTTATTTGAGGAAGGAGATTTTTGTGTCAATGTCTCGTAATTATGAGTAGAAATGTAAAGGTCTTCCTCTTCTGGTTGGTAATTACTCAGTGATGCATACCGATTTGTTGTTGTGGGAAAGTAAGTGCCAGTATTTTTAGGTCTTGATGCTTTTTTCTGATACCTAAAGCCGTCATTGTTCATTTCCTTGCCTATGTTATTTGTAGCTGATGGAGTAGTTTCAACACTTGTTGGATTCGTAACAGCTGCCTGTTTATACTCATTCTCAACCCTTTTGAGATCTGTTTTAGATGATTGAGAAAGCTTTGGCGATGTCATCATTTCACGGATAATGTCCGGAGTCAAATGAAGTGCACGGTTTAAAAAGAACAAGGCTAACTGAGATCTTTTTAGAATCAGCGTGCTTTGTGAAATGATAGGAAATAGGTTTTGGAGGGACTCAAATGTATCTTTTCCCTGCATGATACCTTGGATTATTATTTCAGTGAATATGATCAAGTAAATGCCACAGTCAAATCCGTTAAACTGTTGAGGAACGCTTACAGGTGTTATGTTACAAACTTTTGTCTCACCTATCAATGTTTGCCAGGCAGAGCTTATTTTAACTGCGTGTTCATAGTTTTTTAATTTCAACGAGTCAAAATAGAAGAATTCTTTTTTCTCAGTAACATAAAGCAGTAAGCTCCAATGCGACCCTGAGCCACCAGGTTTGTCAACAGCAGGGGAATCGTTAACCGGGATCAACACATGTGTTTTATTCTTTAGATCCATGTTACTAAGAAAATGCTCAAAGTTATTGAGGCATTTGATTGCTTGGGAGATTATGGGGTTTATTAAAGCGATATTTGTTTTATCACATTCTATAGTTCTATTTATTACTGAATCGGTGAGTAGTTCGTAATAAAACTGAATTGCATCATCTGAAAGCCAATTATTTCCTAAAATGTCCAGTGTTAATGCATTTCTTTTTTGAGAGGTTTTATTCTCATTAATATTACAGGTGTTCATGCCATTGGAGGTTACTTGTCTTTCCAGGTGATCTGGTGTGATTACATCTAGTTCTATTTCAACATTTGCTGTTTTTGTCTGCATATTTAGTGGGGTACTAGTAACAGAGGGATCTTCACACAGAATCCCAGAACTTTCAGTTATAGAGTCTTGTATTGAAATACTGCTGATTTCCTTTTGCCCATCATGATTTTTGTCATTTAGGCATTTAAAGCTTGCATTAAAACTTCTCTCAGCTTCTCTGATTGCTGTATTGAATTTAGTATTTTTAACCTTTAACTTTCCATAAAGTGATTTGTTCTCTTTGTAAGAGCAAATATCCACTTCCTTTACTACACTAATCTCATTAGTACCATAAAATTGAACAGTATATTTATTAATATTCTTAGATAAGTCTATTGCCGTAACAGTTGCTGGCCAATGTGGGTATCCTTTTATTTTTGCAAAGACTCTGTCCCCAGTATTAAATTTACTTTTTGTAGGACTCATGTTTATACTGTATTTTATAACAGATTTAAATTCATAATATAAAATAAAATAAAACCTCTATAGTTGGTAAAATAAAATAAAATGTTAGCTTTTGATAATTATATTAACAGTTGTGTTAATTGAGAACTCTTTAGAGTCTAATTAAAAATCTAGTGTAATTCTGAATAGAGCAATAGTTCCAGTTTAAAGCAGATAACTTAAGTTGGTAAATAAACCAACTGATAAGAGATAACAATTTAAGGTAGGTACCAGTTTGTCCTTGGCCAAGGCCAGGTTAGTCAGTTGTCTCAATTACTAATCTTGATTCCAGTATAATCTCCATTGACTGTAAAATTTAACTTTAATTGTGCTTAGTTTATGTGCAGGTTGTATATTCTTCATATATTAACACCGTTAATGGAAAATTCAGGTAATATCTTCCTAGTGGAAATTCTCTTGTAGGTTATAAATAGAATACTGAAAATATTTATATATAAAGATTTAATAAAAACCGACACTTATTTAATAGTTTTATATAGAAACACTGTACCATTCATTTACAAAACACTTTTACACTAAAAACTGCTTGATTTAATAGAAAGTAACTGAAAAATGAGGACTGATAAAAACACCTGTATAACCTTTATAACCTCAATCTTTCCACATTTTAAGTATGGTTTATGGGGGTGTGACTTGTAGTTTTCTCAAAAGTTCATCGGTACTTTGGGATTTATATGGATATTGCAGAATGATAGTAGGAAATTGTGTCCTTTTAGAATGAGATGAACTTTTGAACCACCACTTTTGTCATTGGTTCAAATACCAGTGAGGCCAATAAAATGTATACATATTTAATTGTTTACTGAAGCTTTACTTTGTTTGACACGATATATATCTAGCACAAGAGCAAAGCCAATAACACTGGAAAAAACAAAGTAGAAAGAGTCTGACAAACTTAAAAAATGAACTAGACACAAACTCATTGTCCGAATATATTTTTTTTTCTTCTAGGATTCCTTAAAAAACATTAAGATTGATTCCAGTTGTTGGTTTTGTTGCTCAATTGCTTCTCTTGTAGCCAGCGTAAAACCATATTGCTGCTACATAGTTTTACAATAACAAAAAATTATATCAAGAAAACACTAGATTTATGTGTTACTAAAAACAAGAATCAACTAGGATTGGATATACTTACAGCGAGCCAGGAAGGATATCTAGGGGTTGTGGTTTTAGGGTCAATAGATCTGATAAAGTTGGTATCCCTGTTTTGTGAAGGGTTGGCTCCACATTCACCCTCAGATACGACGTATGTTGTGTAGTGATTCAGCCCTAGGAAATCTGCAGACCCTGTAGGAAAATATACTCAATAAACCATTTGGTTAAGTAAATATTTATTAATGCAACATCAACTGTGCTAGCAAACCCCACGGTTAAGTTAAATTCAGCAGAGCTCAACATTCTACAAACTGTACCTAACTTGATAATGACTTAAAACCAACTGTTTAGAAAGTAAATTATTTATATAGATGTACATTTTGGCTCTTGTTTGAATGCATTCTATAAATGAGTTATGTAACCTACTGTCCTTGTTATAAACTACAATAAATAGTCTAAAAAATTAATAATAATTTAGTCATTTGCATTAATGTAAATATATCAACTGTGCTCCTGAAGATGCCATACATGTTGGTGAAATGTACATCGGGCTTCATAATCATAAGCCTCAAGAATCTGAACCACTAGGTAAACTTAAAAATTGTTGTTGTAGATTTCATGATTTAATAAGATATTTCTTTCTCATTAAACTTCCTATCTAAAGACTCAGCTAATCTTTAACAGTTACACTGTTATCTCAATCATTAACACTCATCTTTACCTAAAACTACTCACTTTTACGTACAAAGAGAAAATATCATGAAGGATATTTTACCTTTGATCATTTCTATTTGCTCTGGTGTGAAGGATGGTAACCGAGATCTATACCTTCCCTCCTTCATACTGTTCTCAGCTACTCTCTCCTTCATTATAGTGGGATAATCTCCTTCTTGGCTGAAGATGGGGTGTAAAACCCATCCTAGCTGGAACATGACAATAATGTATAGACAAAATTGACCTGGAAATATAACAAAACTCAGTTAGCTATTGAAGTGTAAAATAATTATAGGTTACACCAATAAGGCTGTTTAAGAGGTTCTATCACTTATTTCACACCTCCAGTATTTCTAAGCAACATATTTGATACAAAATCGTATAACTAAAGACTTGGACTAACTGAAATTAGATAAAACCAATTATAATTTTATTTTTCCAATTGTGTAGTTAAAGTATATAAATTTTAGTCTGACTAATAAATGTTTGAGTACAATCACAAAGAAGTAAGGTACACAGGAAACATTCAATGGTTCAATTAAGTAGTATCTAACACTAGTCGCTGGTGTTTAGAGCAAAGTCTAACAACGCTCCCCTCGCCCACATGTACGGCTTCTGGCTTGTTTGTGGATATATTTCAATCAAACTTGGCCAATTTATTTATTTAATACTAAGCTATTAATATTTTACTAAAACACACTTAATTACCCTCCATGTACAGCAAACCAAGGTCCTTGTTAAACTTAATGCTATTTAAATAGATTTAAGTAAAAATCAAATCAAAATGCATTTATGTGCGTTAGGCTTAGCTGCTGCAAAGAGTGTATGTGTGTGTGACTGCATGCTAGGAAAAGAAATGTATGTTATGTTGTTTATTATTAATTATGTTACGAAATGTGTATTTTACTTTTGTTCATGTCATGTATTATTGTTATTACTATTATTATTTAGAGGTTAACTGTAAGAAAGGACCATGAGGTCATAAGTTCGACTCAATAAAGAAGGATTTTCATTTCATTTCATTTCATTTCAAATCAGGCAAATGGAAATTCACTAATAGTCTGCAGGTTGGCTGCAGTGGGGGTATTGTAGTTATAGGTTTGGTTGAAGCCATCATAAATCAAAATATTTTTGATCTCGAAAAATTGTGTACATTACCTCAAATGTAAGCCCTCTTTCAGCTGCCTCCAAGTCTTTTGGATTGTTAGTAGCGGGCCTGTAATAGAACCCGTCTGCCACGATTCCTATTTGACCTATAACAAAATAAATGTTTAAAAATATTAAAACTGGAAAATTAGACCAAGCTTACGCAATGGAGCCTCTTCAAAGATTTTGTCGACTTACAACTTTATGGTTCATTTTAAATTTTACATTACATCTTAAAATGGTGCTGAATATTTTACCAGTGGAGTAGACATTCAAATTAAGGTAGAACTGGAATTACCAACACTTACCCTGCTGTACCTCCCTGTAGTGGTTGTTGTAAAGGTGGTAAGCCTTGGCGTGGGCCAGCAGCATGGTGTGACATGCCAGATACTCCCCCACCCCATGCATCTCTAGACCAGGGGCCAACAGAGGGTAGACCGGCAACGACCTTCCATACGCGAAACTGGAGAACAGTCGGGGCTCGTTGATGGTGCACCAATACTTTACCTGCAATGAGAACAGGATATTAAATGGACATTTTACGCCAATTTATAAACTACTTAACCAATTTCCACACACAATAAGGAAACTGGCTGGGTAGCTGAGTGGTTATAGTGTCCCCACTAACAATCAAAGGTAGCCCTTTAGATAAACAGTATAGCCCAGGATAAACAGCCGGATTGATCCTGAGACAAATCAGAAGCTTTTAGATGAATCAAAACTGAACCCAGCTGTCCCTAATTGGGCTTGAAATAATTTCTCCTGGCAAGTAAACAGCTGATCTTAGTCAGTAACAAAGCTTCACAGATCCTCTCACTACATTCTACGATCATACTACGTGCCTAGGTGGCGGTCCCCTTCTCAATTAATAACGATTCCTATACTGTAGTTTTCTGTGGACTTTAGTAAAATCTATAAATTAAACATTCAATAAGACTATCAATATTTTTAACTCTTTTGCCATTCTTGAGACTCAAAACAGGGCATCTAAACAAGTTCAGTTCACCAATAATGAATTGTTAGAACTTTAAAATTTTAATATGAATTTAGAAACTTAATTCAAGCTTACGCAGGATGGTTAACAAATAGATCGATAACTATGTAAAAAATGTCCACTTACCCTATCACCAAAGTTCTCAAACAGAATCTTGGCATAGTCCTCGAAGTAGTCTGCAATCAAGGGGTTGGGCCATCCCCCAAGGTCCTGCAAAGCTTGAGGTGTGTCCCAGTGAAACATTGTTACCTGAGAAACAAAAAGTCCAGGTAACTCTAGAATTCCATTTCTCCAAGAGACGGATTGTGTAGCAAACCTTTTAACCAAACTAAACTCAATAGCCAAATACTGTAAAGTGTAAACTATATGGCATCTTTACTAGTACATGAACAACTACAGTCTAAAAGCAAAGGTAGAGAATAGAATTTTAGATTAATGCACAATCCTGAGATAGCTCTATTAGTTATGCACCTATTTACTAAAAAGTGGCTTCAGCTGGTGCTGGTCCATTGGATGTCTATTTCAATACGAGAATGCCATTTCTATTTAGCTTTTTAAGTCAAACTATGTTTTTTAGCACTTTAAATCACAAAGTACGAGTTCTCAGAATGGGTCATTCATAACTTACCATTGGCTGTATCCCATTTTCTAGGAGATTATTTATGAGATCATTGTAATACTTAATTCCAGCATAGTTTATTTTTGAAACATCGCCATTAGGTAAAATCCGAGGCCAGCTGATTGAAAATCTGTAAAAGTCAACCTGCAACAAAAGTATTTTTTTTTACTTTTCATTCTAATTCATATAAAATATTTTTTGACATATAATCTTTTATTATATTAAATTTTAGCCTCCTGATCACATTTAAGTACTAAATAATGGTGTAAATACCTGCATTTATGTGATTAATTTGTTGCTAAATTGCAACCGGCCAGTACAGATGTCTTCTTGCTTCATTTGAAGGTTGTCAGTTCATAATAAATAAATACATTTAACACGCACACGTACACGAACATAGAAACAAACATTTAGGGTTAAAAACGAAGGATAATACTATACGGTAACGGGACACGACGTGATCGGGCGGGGGTTAAGTCTAGACATAACTGTCTTGCCTAGCGTCCTAAGACATAAAAAAAAAAAAAAAAAAAAAAACGGAGATATCAATAAAACTTGAGACTCATCATTTTTCCACTTGATAGATATGATTGTTAGCACTTGAAACTCTGTAAAACTGCAACAATGTTTAGTTAATTTCTTGCTTGGTTACACTTATTTGTGTCTATCTACCGTTGTACATTTTATGTTTATTCATACCAACATACCCCAAGGTCCTTTAACAGTAGTGTGTCCTCTTTGAAGAGCTTATATGTGTTGCAGGCAATATCACCATTGGATCTGTCAATGATATGTTCTGGTCTTGTATGGACAAACCTATCTATTGTACTTTCTCCCTTACCTGAAATTGACAAATAATCAAATTAAATCAACCAATGGCCTTTTTGAAAAGCATTTGTTAGGGTTGTCTGAAGAGATGGATAAGTCAATAGCAAGTCACATAATTACTGATCTTTTGGATGAACAAGTGGAAATCCAAACAAAATGTTTTAGTTCAATACTAGCTGTGTGCCCGTTCTACGCACGGGGATCTTATCGTAGCCAGTTGAAACCTTCTTATATTAAGAACAGCAGTTGATTTTAATATTTTCAGATATGCTGGCAAAACAATTATAGATAAACCTTCGCAAATACAGTATCTGACAGTTTCAAGCACAAGCCAAAACAAATGCTTCGAAATTAAATGTCACCCGGATCATGTTGGTCCATATGTTAAATCCAATGATTAAACTAAAAAAAATGCTTTATAGATCTATGAGGCATAGCCCTAAGGGAGGCCTGAAAGTTACTTTCCAGAATGGTTAAAAGTATATAAGGTACTACATTAACTTCACAATTTAACACTTTATTCTGGTTGACATTTTTCATTATCAAGGGCTCTTGTACTTTCCGTGAAACACTGAGAAATAAAGGACATTGATGCGTTACCAACAGACATACACACACAAATCCAGAACTTAGAGAATTTACTACGCTTTAAGCATAACAAAGTACATATAAAATTAGTATTTGAAATCTTTGTTAATGTCATCAAATTTTATCATAACAATTTATATTTGCTTGGACCGAAGATGACCCGTAATGCTGTCGAAATGACGGATGACTATTTGAAATGAAGTACTATAGACGATTTAGATTGGTAATTTATAATAAAAATTACCAAAATAGGCCACGAACTATTGATGCATAAACAACGTAAAGCGTTTAAACAATTCATGATGGTTTACTGAGTTTTACTAAAATGCGTTAGCCTATCGTTTTCTTAGCATAAACTAACATTTTGGAATCCAGACAGAAAAGCAAAACTTATACAGTTAAATTAAATACGCCTGTAATAAATAAGGTGCAACACCAACGTTAACTAATTTGTAAATTACAATGATGTTGTAGTACGTAAATGTTATTCTTGCTGCTACCAACGGTTCTAAGGGAAATCAGTACCAAAAACCAACGTTTACAGTTAAGAACTATAGTACATCCGATCAACTGTATTCGTTAATCAAGTCCCGAGGATATTGATCTCTTGGTTTTGGATTTTCTCGTAAAAGGTTATTGGCAGTCAAAGTTATTTACCATAAATTGCTTTATTTATAAATAACTTTTAATGTAAACTTATCGGTGTCAGTTTGAAAAAAAAACAACCTTATACAAACAACTGTTTTGTTATTTAATAGATTACGTATTCTCTAGAAACAATTATTGGTATAGGCTATCCATTTACATTAGAAGGGAATGTGATAAAAATCACACAACGTTGGGTTTTTGGACGTTTGTAATTTTATTTCTTAAGTAGGTAGGCCGTGTATCCTAGGAAAAAGTACCGGCATCAAGGATCGTCGTCAAAAAGGTTGTTATGAATAATTGGCTAGGCGTACGTACCCAAGAGATAGGCTATTTGCCTATTGGCTGTATGGCTATATATATACTATACTATATATATAGTCAATGTTAAGAACAGAAAGTTACACATTGGAAACCGAGTTTAGCATTATCCGTAAACCTCTGTTACAATCACCTACAGCAGTTGTGATTTTTTTACTTTACACTTTACACAACCGCCATTGAAGCGCCGTCACTGAGTGGAAATCTTGTTTCTAAGCTACTGGCGACGATCATTATTAAATTTAAGTTTCCCACCCATATACAACACTGATTCAAGGTCTTCTTTCTTGTTATCAAAACTCAAGAACAATTTCATACACTAAAGAATTTCTGGTTCCTGACCTGGATGATACCTAGTTAATTAATTTCATTTACGGTTACACTATTACACTATATTATTGAACTTACGATTAATTAAATCCGTTATGTAAGAAAAACGTTTTTAATCTCACTTCGTTGAGATTCGCTTTCAAAACGTGATCGAAAATGGTTGCGGTATTTGTAAACAACATTTGTAAACATATCAGTGACAGCTAGAAAAAATAATCTTGATCCGAACAGCTGTTCGTTATTTCATAGATGATTATGTGATAAAAATTGGACGAAAACTTTAAAAAAATCGCACAAAACTGCATTTTTGAACGTCCGTAATTTTATTTACAAAGTAGTGAGACCATATTTTAATCACTAAAGACACTCTCACCAATCCAGTAAATACATTAAAATGACTTGGATCTTGATAGGTAGGTACTCTCGTTTTCCTGGAGAAGATTGCATAAAATGCCATCTTGAGTGTTGCAGACAGACAGACAGACAGACAGACAGACAGACAGACAGACAGACAGAAATTTAGATGAGACTTGTTTCGGCTTCTTTAATGTATAAAACGTAAAAATAACCTAAAGGTTTATGATTCTGAGCAATGTACAGACAAAACTCTAATTTTATTTATATAGATTTTTTTCAATTGTTATCAATTCATTTAAGCATTTTCATAATCTTAACTGTAATTTATTTCTAATAGATTAAATATTAAAGACATATTAGCATTGGGACATATGGAAACAAGATATAAATAAAGCTAGCTGTGAATCTGTGGTTCTCGTTTTGTTATGAAGAATTAATCGTCTTCTTGATCAAATAAGAACCAAAAGTTTGGTCAATTACACAAACCTATTAATAAGTCTGACTTAAATGTCTATTCTATTGTTTATTACTCAAATAAAAATGTTAAAAAACTATTGGTTTCTGAGTTTTAACATACTGTAACTTATATTGGCTGAAAAAAACATATTTGTTAATATATTTTCTTCCTACAAAACTTGTCCATCCAGACTTTCCGACAAAAAAAATTATCAGTGTTCAATTTAGAAAAATAAATTTAGACACATACTTCTGTAGATAAATACTTCTGTTTTTGAAATGTAATGACACTATAAAGAACATTACTTGAAGATTTGCTGAAAATATTCTCATTTAAATATACTGTTTTTCAACATGAAGATTTGCCTTGTTCATAGTTGTGTTTATTTATTCACTCTAACACATTTTATCACCTTAAAAATACTATTGAAATCACAAAGAAAAAAACTGTCAAAACAATGTGGTTATTTTTATTGTAACTATGTACAGTTCAAAAGCCCATGATTAAAAAAAACAATGTACCTTTTTACTTTAGACTCTAAAGCAGTGACCCAAAAACCTGGACAAACAATGGGTTGCAGCTTTGGCCATGAGATAAGTACAGTAACTTCTAGTAAGGCAGACTAGACAAGGCAAGCAACTTATAAACAGCTGACAGACAAGGCTTGGCCAAGGTTGTCAATGATGCATTTCATGCTGGTAATCTAATGACTAATATTTGGGGTCTACGCCACTAGAAACTGGCTAAAGCTTAGTTTGAGAATTAGATGTGTCGGATTTGTTCACACTACATAATAGACCTGCCTACAAACCTAATGTCTAATTGAATTCTTAGATTTTGTTTAAACAAGTTTAGTTAAAAGAATGTTACACTTTAGGCCCTACTATAGTCTTAATTAATATTTTTTTGTCTAATACTTATGTTTTCTGCTATACCAAACAATTATCGTTTTGGTATACTTTTAAATACTACAAATCAATAAAATTCCAGCTGTTAGAAAAATATATTCTAAAAAAACAATGTACGCAGTAACAAATTTACCATGAATAAGGGTGGAAGACATTGTATTGTGTTATATTTAACACCCTTAATACCAGAAGTATCCAATATTTAAATTGAAGGGGGCAATATGGTAGTAGTGTCAGAGCACAGAGCTTTGGACACAGAGACCCCGGGTTCAAACCTCGCCAATTACAAATGGCTTTAACTACATAGCAAATTGTACTATTATGTAATTAATGGCTGAACAACTATTATGAGCTACGAGAAGATGCCACGGCCCTATTGCTTAGCCTGAATTAAGTAATGCCATTGACTATTGGATACTGAAGTTGCTGTATTAATAGTCAAAATTAATGCGTAAAACGTTTCCGAACTTGATCTAGCATTCCAGGATGTGAAGGTATGGGACAAGAAGATTTGAAAAACAGATTTTTGGGGTACAAAATCCAGTGTAAATCCCCCCTGCATAGTGCTGGGTTCAAAAGTGTGTATTCCTACATAGCCTAAACAGATAAATGTATTGACATTTCGATCTGAATTCCTTACAATTCAGAATAATGTGAATAGGCTATAGGTGAATAGCAATAGGCTATACTCTGTACACGGAAAAATATAATACCAAAAATACGTGAACCAACAGTCTTTTTGGATTCTAGAGTTCATAAAATTTAGGATCTAGATATTACCATCAAGACCACAGTAAGAAAACCAAAAGGTCCAAATAATTAGATCAAACTTAAATTAAATATTTTGCTTCTTGGAAACCTTCCAGCATCAAGCATAAGAGAAAGTTTCCTGTCAGGTCTTTAACCTGCAGAGAATCCCTCACCTAGTATCTTAATGAAATACATTGTACTCGTCTTATCTTTGTTTGCTGAGACTAAACAACCTGGTGCTAAACACGTCCACCGCTTCAGATAGAAAATATCTTTTCTGAACAACTTTCCTTTGTAAAACTAAGGATTTATAAAACCAAACAATTTGTAAAAGTAATTTGTACAACAAGTAAAAGCCAGTCTAGTAATTATGAAACCATTGATCTGAGGGAGATTAAATCACTACTAGTTATGTTTAAAATTTGTAGCAATGAGATGATTTGATTTATAAAATAATGATTTAAATGGTAAAAAATGTAGAGCTGTCAAATCCTAGAGGACTTTTACTCAGGCTTTGAGGGTCTCAAGATATGAAAGCCCAAACTACACCAACAGTAACCGTATTTTGTATTAAATAAAATTGTTAAACCAGTTAACAGTATATTCTTTTAGGCCAATGAACCTGTAATACAATAGACCTTAAAGCGCACCCCCAGGAAACAGGGGTATTAATGTCTAGTCCTTTGATGTAGTCAAGGCATTGGCACCTAGTTTTGAAAATAACATTTTTATAAATCTACAGTAGATTAACTCCAAAAATGAAACTGAGAAATTTTGGGTTTAGTAGGCCTAATGACATGAAACCATTAGAAATCAATGACTAAGTCAATCTAAGCTGGTGAACCATATGAGAAGTCATCAAGAGATTTTCTGATATGCTACTATCAACGTGTGCCCATTAGCACTTAACAGTACCTGATTCATTGTTAAATGTCCCTAATCCATCTGAACCAATGGGTCGATTAGAGTTACTAAACTAAATGTTAATTTTTATTTTAAATAAAGAACTAATAAACAACAATGATTAATTACTCAAAGAAAGTAATACAGCCAAAGCAACCAACAAACTTAACAAATTTGAATTTACCTGGTTGGATTTTCACTAAAATATTTCCATAAAATTGTCAGATTTTGTATACGGTATGTTTGATAACATTAATTTTAATGAGTACTTAGGTTTGCTGCTACAGGAAAAATAATAGAGTTTGGGAATGAATTGCTAAATAATGTGTTTTGGGAGTCAAAAAAGGGAAAAACCAATTTTCATCCCATAAAATCCTGTTCCCATGGTCTGCAAGTAGAGGATGTAGGTTTACACGTTTGTATTCCGGGAACATCAAAACAAAAAAGTAAATCTGTCCTGGATCTAGGTCTTACCATGAGACCATGGTAATAGCTTATTCTCAACATGGGAAATACTAACAAGCAACAATATTGTGGAATGTTTTAACAATAATTATTGTTGATACAACCAACAAATTATGAGAAGAAAGTTAATATGGAAAACAATCATGTAAACTCCAATGATTATTGAAGCCTTTAACACGTTGGGTGCTGATGACGGGAATTCCCGCCATTGCTTAACATTGAAATAAATGCAATGTTCATGTTCAAACATGTCAACGGCACTTTAAGTGTTAAACCTAGGTCATGGAAATAGTATATTTCATAACAAGAGTAGAAAGTGAGTCATTACATATTTGAGACGATTTATCAAGCACTTGAAATGGTCGAGAATATAGACCCACTTTCTCTCGTGTTTTGAACATTAATTTTCACTACACTACAAAGACTTGTATTTTCTTGAACATTACCAAACTCATATCATTTTTCAGGTTATAACATCAATATCAAACAAACAGTTAACATTTACAAATTTGGTTTTTTGTTGTACCAATTTGGTTCTTGAATTTTAAAACAGTTGAAAAAACAATAACAAAACTTTGTTTGTTTACGTTGGCAAGATCCAAAAAAAGATAGTAAACATTACTTTGTTTCGCATAGTAAACATTTTTTTGCCTTAGTAAATAATGAAATGATGAATTTGTGCAGGTGATAAACAGGTAATTTCACAGTAGTGTAGAGAAAAAAACTGTTATGTCATTTTATATTTATTTTTAGAATCCATAATTGTTTAGCTTATTGTGGACATCACTTTGGAATCAAATCACAGTTGATATGTGATAGGTACAGTGGTACAGATCAAACATTTGGTCTACCAGGGGTTTTGAGCACCTAAGTTGTGATTACAAAATATACACAGGACAGAACATGATAATTGAAATTAGTAAAGTTATAGAGGAACATATAGAGATATGAATGTAAAGTTATGCAAAATATATCCCCAAGCTTTCCTGGTGGTTTTCGCCCCCTACTTTTAGTGGTCAAACTCTCACTGTGGATGAGTTATTTTGCTATTTTCATTCCCAATTTTAAAATACTGGTAGTAAAAAAAAAAATAATAAGCCAAGTCCCATAGTACAAACTTTAAGATTACTCACCATCCGCAGTTGCGCCTCCTTCCACTTGGTAAGCAGAGCTACCAACTCCGAAAATGAAATCAGGTGGGAAACACGATTCAGAATCAGCCATCGTCCCAAACCAACACACTGAGGAAATGACCACTACTAAGCCTGTTGAACAGAAACGGTTTTATAAGACACACAATGAAGCTAATATAGAGCCATTGACCTCCTTGGTCAATATGACATCATAAAGAGCGTTTTGTTACTTTAGCTGATGTTGAAGTCGTATTTACATTGCTTGATAACATATCACAGCTTTTTGTGACTTAAAATTAAACCTGTACTACTGAAATCCAGGTGATCAGATAAAAGTTATAACAATACCATCACAATATTTGTGTAATAATAGAACATCTAAGGTATTATTAGGAAAAATATAAAGAAACTTACAGCTAGTTTTAAAATATTGTAGAAAATAATTATATGTAAACATGATCACTGAAGATAGTTCAATAGAAACTTGTTATCTTTGTCACAGAGCTATTTATCTACTAGGTAAGCAGCACAGACTATACTAGCACTAGAGAATGGCACCGTTTACACATTGGGCCATTACCCTTTGCCTGATGAGATCTTCAAACTGATGAAAGTAATCAGTCCTCATTTTGTGTAATTATTCACTCTTCACTCTGATTATCAATAAATGAAATGATTGCATAGTGTAGGGATAATCCTAAAAAAAGGAATGTTGTCATGGTTGTAATTGGAATTACATAATTGTTTGGGTAACTGAGAGGTTGGTATGGAGTTAGGTTTCAAAGCTGAATATAACTGGTTTGGTTCTGAGTGGAATTAATTCCATACCCAGGTGTGATTTTAGCTATCGAACTGTCAGTATTTGGTGCTACGTCTAACAAAGATATGTTAAAATGGAATCAAGACTACGGTTTATGAACAAACAGAAAAGATATTCCAACTCGTTGAAAATATAAAAAATCTTGGTTTTTTTTTATCCTTCAGTGAGTGTGGGTTACTTGTAGAGCATCAATTTACTGTGGTATTTACAAACTTATTATTTTCAGTAGAATACAAAAGGGTGGTACATCTTTTATTGTTTGTACAGGGATCAGCCCAGTTCTATTCTGTTGAAATATGTTTAGGGCAATAAACCACATCACTGGTAATTTGATCAAAATGTTTCAAGGAAGATTGAGAATATCTCCTCAAATGTAAGTTTAAAAACTGTACCAAATCAGTTTTATTTTAAAACTTTTTCCTTGTTTTACGAGGAGAAGAAGATTGACAAGCTTTATCTCAAAAGACAAGGATTTTATCTCAAATGCAATATAAAGAATAAGGTCAGAGCCTTGAAATTACAAAAGATAGATATTAAACTTTCTAGTTATCTCATTTATATTTGGATAGTAGCATCATTGAAGATACTGATTCTACGTTTTCATTAGCGTAGATAACTCCAATGTTGTTATAAAAACAAGATATTTATTTATGTAATAATTCTATGAATCATTGTATGGAATGGAAATTATTACTGGTGGGGGGAACTGTCACCACTATTTATATGGCTCCACATAATAAAGACCATCAACTTCATTCAACTTGATTCAGCTATATATTATATTATAACTTACCACTTTTTAGACTTAATTGTGTATATATTCGACTTACTCGCCTCAAGATAACAAAACCTTAAATTTAAAAAAATTTTTACCTTTTTGAGGTCTTAAAATCTATTAGGTATCAAAATCATGAACCTGACAAGTTTGACATTAAGTGTAATAAAATCAAATTAATTTCATCATAAGTTATCTGGTTAATCTTGAAAAACATAAGTAAGTTAGGGTCAAAATAATACAGTAGTTTTTTATAGCTTTAATCTATCTATATAAATAAAATTAGAGTTTTGTCTGTACATTGCTTAGAATAATGAACTTTTTGGTTATTTTTACATTTCATAGGTCAGAGAAACCGAATCAAACCTTATCTCAATTTCTGTCTGTCTGTCTGTCTGTCTGTCTGTCTGTCTATCTGTCATTCTCTTGGTAACGCTAAAATACGCACTTTATTACAACTACTCCTCAATAACTATAGCACTGTCCCGCCTGAAACTTATTTTCCAAATACTATACATATATGAGATGGTTTTAGACGTATTTCATCGAATATGAGACAGTTAGATATTTAACAGTAAACCCTTGAAAATCAAGTTTTTGTCGATTTTTGACGTGGAATTTCTGGAAGCCCATGTTAACCTTATGAGAAATGAAATTATTGAATCTTAACAGCTGTTTCAATTAAACAAGTTGGTTCTGTTCTGTGATGTTCAATAGCATTAAAGTTACAAGGATTACCAACAGGGTGCAGCACTAGCACTATTATTTCTTTTACATTTATGACAACAGCTAATTTGCAACCTGGAGGCGAGTGAGCGTAGCGAACGAGCTAACCTGAAGGAAAGTGAGCGCAGCGAACGAGCTCCAACATACAGGTGAGTGAGCGTAGCGAACGAACTTCAACCAGGACGTGATTGAGCCATGCAAACGAGATCAGATGGTAAAAATAAAAGTAAGCCTACCGTTATAGGATCGACCGGCAGACACAGAGGTAATTTAACCTTTTATTGATTGTCATACCGATCCGGAACAACAAAAAACAACATAAAATGAAGCTATGTATAATAGTTTGGCCAGCATATCTTAAAATATGCAAACCAACTGCTGTTCGTTATATAAGAAGGTTTCAACTGAATATTATAAGATCCCCGTGCGTAGAACGGGTACACAGCTAGTATAATTCTAAAAGCACTTTTAGTAAAAAAATCGCAATTGAAACCCGCAATGGCCGCAATAGAGTTATCTTATAACAATATGTTTTCAACTGTAAATAAACAAGTAAACTGTATGCATAAATCTGTCCAACATTGTTCAAATATTATAAAAATGCAGTTTGTGTTATACTGAAAACTGGATTTTAAATACTGTATTTATTGAAATAAAAGCACATTAAATGTCAAAACTATAGGCGTTGCAAAAATTTTGGAACCAAAAATATTTTCAGTTAGATTTACCATGGAATTATCAAAGTTTTTACATAATTTTAAAACCAAAAATTTGCACAACTTAATTTTTTCAGGTTGGGAAAGGAGCAAATGTAACTTACCTGAATAATGTGTCAATTTGTAGACAAAATATTCTTTTTGGCTGAAAGGTATTTAGATAGTAGTAACTGACATATACATTGTTGGAGGTAGCTTACCTGTATCTGAAGTGTGTGTGTCTGTAGACTGAGTGAGAGTGGCTTCAGGTGCCTACTCTGACCTTGATCATGTGACCTCCTCCAGGCCTTACCTTTACTTTTTATATTGCAGTTTTATGCATCATACAACTTCTTTTATCTTTTTCCTCCAATTTTTTGCCAAAATCTACATCCATTTTGGGAAACCTCTATGCTTTGACATTTTTGAATATTTAATACATGTGTTTGATGGTTGACTTCTTATAATTAGTGTAACGATTTTTGATCAAGGATATTGTGTCATAATTCACACAGTTACTTTTGTGACATGACTCGGTAAGTCAGAGTTAGTAAGTTGGAAAAAACTGAATACCAAAGGGTATAGAGTAGTAGCGTCGAGTGAGAAAAACAAGAAGCTAAGCCATATTTTATGTTACGTCAACCATCTCAGTAACAAAAAATAAGATAGGTAATAGAATTTAAGACACTATCGTAATCAATGTTTTGCTCACTCAACTACTTCTTTTTTAATAAAAAATTGGTGACATCGGGTCCATTTAGATACGATAACTACTCCAGTATACTCAAGTTATTAAGCCCCCAACAATGTTTGCTGCTGCATCGTTTCCTGACTTTAAAACAATTTTTTGAAATTATAATGGTGAACTAGCGTGAAAAGCATACCAATATTAAGACATCTTTGATAGCTAGTCCTTAAAAATGGGTCTTGAGTATCCTAAGACAGTAATGTTATTGTTTAAAACTACCTGAGTTCAATACACAAACAAATTTGCTAGAGTTTGTATTTGAGATGAATAAAATTAATTGTAGCAAAGCATGTTATATAATTTTACTTGGGTTGATATTTTAATTAATCAGCTATTATGCGTTTTTTTTATGGAAAGCAAAAGGTAATTCCTATGCTCCAAAATTCTTTAGATTAGTAACGGTTCGGTTACTCAACAAAAAATTATAGCTTATGTAAATAGTAAAATACTGATATCTATTGTTTTTCTGAACTTTCTAAATGGTTACACGCTTTGTTGTTTCTGTAATTTTGATTTATGTACTTTTACATCAATTGCTACCTATTGATGATGTGATAAATGATATTTTTATGTACAGTACCACTAGAAATTCAATTGGGCCGACATCTGTTCTTCGCCTACATACCTTCGGTCTATTATGATGACTTAGCGGTTTAGGGCTTAGATTGATCAACTCTATACATATAACTGTACTCATTAACATTAAAATGCTCTTTACTAGATCCAAGGCATTGAACCTTGTTTTGACATTGTGCTATGCTTCACAGATCCAACGATCCAACTGCTTCCGGCGAAATGTAGGTCAAGATCAGGCAGAACAGGAACACAATAAACTGGTCCCCTAAAGTTGATAGCCTTTGGCAAGGAAGGTCAGATTATGTAACGTAAAACAGAACTGGACACACAGCAAGGCAGCTTAACTTGATCAGGGGAAATATCTATTTACTTTGCAAAAAAAAAAAATTACAGCATCACTTAAAATCCATTGGAAAGTTTATAATTTTGTTAAAGATTTTAGCTTAAAAAATTTGGTTTCACCTTTTGTCAAGGACATCTTCACCGCAGAGACAGTATTATTTATCCAAGGCGCCACTAGAAAAACAGGCCATGCTGCGGCGTGGGCAGCGCAACACTACGTCACAGTAGTGGATAGTTGTACTAAAATCTTACCATTTACAATCTGACAAACAACCAGTTTATTTACCTAAAACATATGGGATATTGCAAAATGGCAGTGAATTTATCAATGAATCTATCCACTAATGTGATGTCATGGATCCTGCAGCATGGCCTGTTTTTTTCTAGCAGGGCCTTGCTTTGTCTCAAAGACCTATCTTTTTCTGGCATGTGGACGCACAGTTTCAGGTAGGCTGTGAAACATTTCCCATAGCATATTTTCATTGGTGTTTGTTAGGATTTGATCATGCTGCACCTGGACAGAATTCACACAGTTTATCCCAGCTGTTCCCAAACTATTGGTTCACTAAAGTATATCGAGGGAGCGATTTTAGTCGGTCATCGGAAGAGATAAAAATAAACATTCTTTTACTCTGACCCCAAAATTTTGTGATTTTCACAATTCAAATGGTCCGGTGAGCACTAGAATAGCACAGAGAAGCAAGGAATATTTTCATTACATTAAAATGTATTCACAATCCAAATGTACTTGTGTATTATGAACATAGTTATTAGGTACTGTATAATGGTCTAATCCAAAATATTTTTTAAATTTTAATCTCGATTTTAATTTACAACAAAGTATTTGTGTCTAAGGGAATCCACCTTTACAGAAAGATGATGCATTTATTTTAGTACAATTTTGAGATAGGTATTTAATGTACGACTAAAAATTCCAACATATTCTATAGCCACTAAGATTCATCCATTTATTATATTATAATTAATGCTCTTCAGTAATTGACAATTTAGCTATTAAATAATGATTGGTAGGCCATTATTAGGGCGAAAGTGTGTTAAATAGAAACTGATGATTGTTCTTATAAGGGATTTAATGATTTAATTCAAACCCATAATACGAGGGATAAAAATAAATTAATAGATGTTAAAATTGTTTTGTGACTGTTATCAATCTTGTGCAATTTTATACTACAAACTTCAGTAGAAATAACTAATTTTTAATATTTTCCTACATATTTGCACATATATGCCTTACTTTGCCTCCAAAATAAATGAGTATAATTTATTAGTTTTACTTAACATCATCAGTTAAGTGTACTTCACAGTAGCTGCAGCCATTCATGGGACATTTGTAACATACTGAATGAAGCACACTATGAAACCCCTGAATGATACAATACAAACTAACTGGAGATCCACTATTTTATAGCACTATTGAACCTATCACATCCTTAACTTTATTTTAACTTTACTAGAACAGTGCCTGTATAATGTAGATTTACAGAATTATAATGTTAAATGTATAATGTATGTTTGTGTAAATGTATAAAAAAGTGAATATCTATTTACCTTTTTTAAAATTGATAATAGTATTGTTGGCAAGATTTGTAACACATCAGTTTCAGATTAAATTAATACTAAGATTATCTAAAATATGTCTACATATTTTCATTATTAGGAAAAATAATTAAAACCCGGTCTTACCATAAAAACAAAAAGCCATGTTGGAAACTAAGTGTTCTTTCTTGCACATTTCTGTTAGTTCACATGTAATGACGGTGGCAAACACAATACTAATAAAACAAAATAGGATTTTTCAGCAAAACGGGGTTTGAAGGTCTTACATTGTGAACTTCCGATAAAACTTAACTTCAAGGTTGAGTTGATTGAGAAAGTCATTAGTGAAGGAGAGAAAACATCAAAGCAAAAAATGATAATTGGTAATTTAAGAAGGAAAAATTATAATGTTTTTTTAAAAAAAATTATAATAACAACTTTGTGGTGTCCTAATATTTTATACTCATAACTTATAATAACGAACAAGGTTGAAGTTTTACCTTTAAGTTGTGACTGCATTATATCTGATTAGCTTAAATGGAAAGAAAAGGAATAATCATTAGTCTCGTTAAGGAATTTTACATTTATTTGTGTTGTATCTTACAAAATCTCCGTACAATTTACAACCCTTACTAATCATAGAATATGTGAAAAAATAAATAAATAAAATATATGCAAATCAATAGTCATAACTCAATAAGGTGGTAGGAGTTATGAATAATGAATAATGAACAAAATATAAATAAAATACTATGATGTGTCTGGTAATATACCTAAAGTGGTTTTTTTCTTCGTTTCTCAAGAATGTTTAAATACTTTCCCCTGGTCATTTCCTTGGCTTCTTCAAGGCCCAGTTTGTATGCAATGTCGTGTAAGTGTTTCACCTCTGCTATCAAATTGGTTACAGACAGTGTCCCGTAATCTAAAACACAAAAAAAGACCCATGATAGCAATTGACAAATATTACAGACATGCTTTGTAAAATAAACTTTTCATAAAAGTTTGTGACATGGAATGACAGAAATTCCCCAGTGAGACAGAAAAACCAGTGAGTACTTTTTACAACAAGATTAATAGGCCTATATAAACACAAACATAGCAGGATAAACTGAACTGAAAATCAAACAAAGATTTGGTTGATTTGAGTTGAAAATATTATCATCAATAGGATGGAGATGAAATTAATATTTTGATAAGAATGTGCCATTTAGTATTACACTAGACTCCCTCTTATCCGGACTCCTCAGGACCGAGGCCAGTCCGGATAACGGTTTTTTCTGTTAAACCGATGTTAAAACGGACCGTTTACTGTGATATTTGACTTAAATTTAGGAGAGCATTGTATTTAGACACGTGATCACTGGTCTCAAATCTTTCCCACGAGAACAGTCGTTTCAGTACCACCCACTTCCTGCCGATCTAGTCCGGTTAAACCAATGTGCTGATAAAAATTGTCCGGTTAAAGAGATGTCATTTCCGTCGAGTGTAGCCCGGTTAAACCGATGTCCGGATAAGAGGGAGTCTACTGTAATTTTAAACTTAAATATTACACTACAATTTGAAGTAAGAGAATTTTGCTAAGAGAAGCTGTTAAAATTCACACAGCTACTCAAAAAAGCACACTAATGCTACAAACAAAGTTATTTTCTAAAGTAATGGTGCTATCAGCTCTAATGAAAATCAAATGGTTTTGTAATTTTTCATTTGTAGGCTTAAGCGGCCGGTGTTATCACTAAATTCTCGGTCTGCAGTTAAGAGCCACGTAAAGTCTGACGTTTTGTCTATTCTTTGATGAGGCATCCTCCGTATCATATAACGGATGGAATGTCTGGTTGAGCATCTCTCACCAGAAGACTGAGAATTTAGTAGCTCTGTCATTAACACAGGTTATTTTCTCACTGCCTATTTAGGGTCAAATGTGCACTACTGTATGGCAAACTGGAAGAGTAATTCTTGTTCACATTCGCCCTAAGGGTCTCAATTTGCAGAGGCAGCTACTCAATGTATATAAAACAGTTAAGTTATTGGAAACACTTCATTTAATTTTACCACATGTTTTGCTAATAACTTGACAGTCCCCAAATTGCATCTTCATCCTTTTACAGTTCTAACGTCACCCTTCTACATCCTTTCTGATACACAATAATTGTAGGCCTACTTTGTATCACTTTCCCCTAACCTCCTTTGACTCTCTAAGTTCTTCCCAATCTTCCCTGTACACTATGTTGACTTTCTGTAACCTACTAGTCGTCTGGAATCCTTTTCAATATTTCCTGAACCTCATGTCACCATTACAATTTACCCCCTGGCCCCTACAATTTACAATTTACACCCTAGCCTATGTATCCTTCATGTCACCCTAACCTATGTATCCATCTTAATTCTTACTTCCTTGTGTAGCATTCCTTTATCACACGTAGCCATCCTATCATTTTTCTAACGTTTTGTTTCATACACTTAGTGTCGCCTCTTAAAGTTTCTCCCAGATATTTGCTTGACCCTTCAACATCCAAGGGCTAGTGCCCTTAGTTTCTAAATTCTAAACACCTCCAAGCAATACCATTGCCAAAACATTCATGTCCTATCCAGCCAAGTTCATACACTTAATAAAATTGTAATGTTTATAGTACTTGGAAACTGAAACTAGGAATTAAATGGAAACACCATTAGTCACTGTCAACATGCTGTGGCTGATACACACACAGTACGGAGGTTTGGTAACATCGCGGGAGCTCATGGCAGACTGAGGGAGGTATCGCTGATAAAGCGCCGCTTGGTAAATAATAAGATTCCCAACAGTAACTGCCCTTGTAGCAAGATATATTTTTTTTTTAATTAAACTTGAAGATGTAAGAAAAAAAATTAATTTATGAAAATAGTTGTCAGGTCAGCCTATATTGTTCAAAGAATTAAAATTATTTATTAACTCATTCTTTTTTGTCGTACAATATACATAGATAGGAGTTTTGTCGAGATTCATTATGATAAAGCTAATTGTTTCTAATGATGATTGGAGTGTCCTATCGAAATCGATCACGATCATTTACATGTATTTACCGTCTCCTTACTTAACAGTATACGTATAAATATATGCTTCAAGTATTATTAGACATATCTTAATCTAGTTTTCAAAAATAAATATGAGCAAATAATGTTTTTGGCCTACGGGGACATGAAATAAAAAAGTAAATTGGTCTGGGGTGTAAGTCTTATCATACCACCCATAGTTTTAGCCTCTTCTCTAGGGGCCCCTAGTCTTATGTTTGCTAAAATTACAATATCAGGTTCATTTTGACTGTGGAACATCAGTAGCCTACTGCTAGCTACTAGGGATGGACGAGACTAGATTTTAAGTTTGAGACAAGATCAAGACGAGATTCTCTTTTCTCATCATAATTTGAGACAAGATCGAGACAAAATTTTGATCTCATTACTATCGGGTATTATTCGTTTGCACAGTTTTACAACAGTTAACAAATGACAATAAAACACTATTAAAACAACAACTTAAGTACAATAACTATTCATGACAAAGGTTGATACAAAAAGAGTGTACAAATTAAAAATTAGCTTACAGGACCTTAAATAGTTATGAAATCTTAAATAAGAAAAAATAAAAATAAATAAGACATCTTTAATATAAAACTGTAACAACCACACCACAATGAACTATTTCACAACAAAAACAATCTATAAGAGATGAAAGAAAATTGTAGTAGCTTGTGCGGTGGTGTTACTTCTGATCTCAGTGATATTGATATCATATACATACAGTAAGACCAATTATATCTAGTATAGACGGGACCAGGGTCATTACGGTCAAGGAATAAACCGATTTTTGAGATGTACACAGTTAAAAACGCCTTCAGAACGTCTCTGCAATACCCGCAATACAGGAGGGCGTTGTTGTTGCGTTTCCTTTACAAAGGCGTTTTATTTAATTTTGTTTAAATAATCTCGCTCGAAAAAGTCTCATAGAAAAGTCAATCTTGCTCGAACTCCGTCCATCCCTACTAGCAATACACCAACAGGTATCTAGGCTAAACCAGAATTTCTTTATAACTATGTAGGTTTTTAAGGCATAGGCCTGTCTGAAATGGTTATCAGAATGAAAGTTATATTTGATTTAGATAGATCATGAATTTTGCTATGTGCTATTTGTCGTGATAATTGTTTTTACCAAGGGTAATCCGTGGTTAGTTGGTCATTATTATGTCCAGCAATTGCAGGGACATCACCCACCATGTAGAGATGAAATCATGAACCTCTCCCACGTTATTTGCCGCCATTGCAAACATCTTCCTAGGTTGCAGTAAAAAAGTAATCATCTTTGGCGATCACACAACAATCATCATTGACACCTTCGCCATAATGACCAAATCGTGAACATGTCCCGTGATAATGTCGATAATGTGAATATCTCCACAATAACTTAGCTGACTGTTGAACAAATCCGTGGTAAGAAAATTCCGAATTAAATTTAATACCGGCCTAAGATCTAGAATAGGACTTTTCAAAAAATATTTCCTCACTTTTTTAGCCTTCTAATCCTAGTTTTTGTCCAAAATTAATGTGCTCCTACAAGTAGGGTTATGTGCGTTTATAATATTGTAGGTTGTACACTTAACAATATTCAGGTCTATGAGATGATTAACAACCTTTTTTTTATAATTTTTACACTAACAGTAATAAAGATATAAAAATGCACTTACATCTCAGCAGCTGTTTATCTTCATCATCCAATGGTCTGTTCCATGGCTGAGGCAGGTTGTTCTGGGCTGCAGAATTAAGATACATGTATTCCGACACCCCTGGAACTATGACCATTAAAAACTAAAACAAAGTGGAAGTACTCCAAATGATCAGTTACGATCAAAGAATGAAGTCGTTCAATAGGGTCTGGTAATGTCCTGGAGTTGACCTTCCTCTTTCTTAAAAATGGAGCCAAATAAAACATTAAAAAAATAGAATGCCTACTATATTAATTAGCAATTCATTTGATAAAAATCCTCAAACCTCTTTTGGTGCATTGATAGCCAAGAGATTGTTACTCCTCTAGCTTCTAGCCTGGAATTGGGTTCCACATTAACCTACTTTAGGCAAGGTCTAGAGGGGGTCTTGGCATAATCACTTAGATAAAATCCATTGGCGATAGGCAGGATTTGAACCCGGGAACTATCATGGACCAAAGTCCTTCAATGTACAAAAGACCAGATCGATACCTTAACCAAGAGATAAATGATAAAACTTGAAGGCCCACAGAATTAAACACAAGATCATCACTGGACCCGGATGCTATTTTTTTTCATTGGGCGACCAGGTAAAGATAGGCTACTGTATACACAGAGAAGTAATACTAGCCTACAGAGGAAACATTCCAGGTTAAACTTATGTGGTGAGTAGCACTAGTCGCTGGTTTCTAGGGAATAATCCAACACCGCCTGCCTTGCCCTCATCAGGTTCTTTCTTGCATGACACAAGTATATTTCCCGCACGACATACTACATCTGAAAGCACTTGGTCGTCCCATTAGAAATTGTCCTCTGTTCCTTACTTCTCTGTGTGCTTTCTAACAATAGATGGATGTTAGATAGTAACAGGTCCAGGGTTTTATCAGACAGCTTGAACACTGCATAGTAAAATCAAACAAACGTGATAGGCCTACCGGTATAACCAACATTTTGGGTTTATTTTACTTTTCTATCATCAACAGGCTACAGACTGAAGCAAAAAAGGAGACGAGTGTAGTTTATTTTGTACATAGAGCTTAATGCACACACGACTTCAGAATAATGATTAGCCTATATAATTCCAAATGAATAGCACTTTTTGTTTTAAGATTTTAGGGATTGCCCGTTTTAACCGACCTTTGAGTTATCCGACCTAGGTCCAGTCAATTTTAAATGAGAGAAACCGAGACTTTCTAGACTACTGCTCTCTTGGTGTGTGAAGATCAGATTCCTTGCCTGGGAAGCTGATTTTATTTTTGAACATGATCCAAGTAATGTTTGTAAGAAAAAGTTCAGTACCTAGGTATAGTGAGTAAAATAGTCCTAAATGTTTATTTGTAATTTTTTTGGAATCCAGGCTTACTGTTCTCTAGAACCGTATTTTGGATAGACTAATGAGATATAATTGTAGGAAAGCTGGCGACCGTCTCTTAAATCTAGGACAGCTGATGGCAACCCTAAATAATACAAACTTTTTAATTTCCCTGATTGATTGAATAAAATACAGGTCAACTTATAGTGGAATAGAACACAGAATAGGACTGGCCTCTGAGGAGGTAGGGGATGCGACGTTGCCACTTCGTTCTTGGCTGGTGAGCTGACTTTCACCTAGATCCCCATCCCTCTGACTTTTCCCACTTGTAGGGTAGTTTAACACTACAAATTATTAATTTTTTGGCGGTATCGGTTAGTGTTGTCATGTTTATATCACATGGAAGTTACATTCATCCCTTACATGATCATGGATAGATTATTTGCACATTTAATGACTTAAACCGCTACTAGATATAGTTTTTGAAAAATATATTAACATACAATTAATAAATATAAAATGAAAATACATTTTATATAGGGTCACCTTTACGAGTCTCTGGAAATATGTTGCCTATAGTCAAACGTTTGTCAACCCCAAGTTTTAAACAAATCACCGTAACAATAAGAGCAAATGAATACATATGGACCAAAAACTTTTATAGCAGTTCTAAAAATCTTGTAAATTGTTGCCCTGCTTATAGTTTGATACATAAAACAAATTAACATGGAAATGAAGAAGGTAAAATCTTCCATATTAAACATTTACAGCAATAGTTTGGTTGTGTTTAGGAAACGAAGTTGGTCAATGGTCAATGGTTAGGAATCACCCCAAAGCTGCCTTTCTTTGAACACCTATTGTGACCCTCACTCCGTTAATCTTATTATTGCCACTCGACTGAACTCAAACTTACGGAGAACAGGTAGCTCAATAGTGACGAAGACATTTCTGTAATATTGTGATTTGGCAAAAAATTCCGTTAGTTTTATATTGAATTTAAGAAAATTGAACTAACGTTTACATACATTACGTTATGTGTTGCATTCATTAAAATAGTCATACGATATATTCACTCTTCTATAACAAAAAAAAACTTCTAACGTAGGTACTCTAGAAATCCTCAAAAAACATACCAGGTAAAAAGGGAAATAGAACACATAACACACAACATAACACAACAACATAACACAACTGCACATAACATAACTGCCAATTTATTGCCAAAATGACATAACTATTTTTATTAGAAAATATTATTACATTGCACTGGAAATTGTTACATAAAAATATTTACAAAAGAAAATATTGACGTATGAAACTTAAATAAAATTTGTAAGGGACAATGTCATTTTTATATAGGCTTATCAAGATATTTGCATTACGTAAAGGAACGTAAAGGAACACCACGTCCGACGTTACGATATCGCAAACGTTTCACGTGTACTCGTGGTCGTCCACATCGCGTACTGTTGTCCGTATTCATTGGGCAAAACACAGTTCATAGACGAATTCTTGACAAAACAGGAGGGTAGAAACGCACAGGTCGGCTATCGGGCAGAGACTGAGTGCGTGGCACAACTTGGCAACATTGGACAGTTTTCTAAAAGCTGATTGGATGCCGCATGCCCCGCCCCACCCGACTCAAACTGGTTTCGGTCCTATTCTGTATTCTATTCCACTATAGTGGAGTCAGTTTTAAAATGATCACATCAGGCGTAAGCTTGAGCTTATAAATTATTTAACATTTTTTTCTACTTACTTGATTCGGGCCACAATTCAGGAGATGAGCGATCCAGCTTTTCTAGACTGAGGAGACTTTGATCCAATGTAGACATTCCTCACACACTAGAAGGAATGAGAGAGAGTAAACAAACATTTAGTTGGACATGGACACGGTTTATTATTTGTTAGGCATATTCTCTATTAACCTACCCTAAACTTATAAGAATTTTAAAAAGTTCACAGTACTTAACTTAAGTAGGCTAATTGAGGGATGAGCATCGATCGCCAATGTCTGTCAATTAGATGTTTAAAGTTCATACATCACTAAGTACATCAGTTATTAACATAAATTTGATTGATTTCCTTACATCGATGTTATACAAATAGCCTAAAATGATGTTTTCAACAACTAATCAAAATGTTTTATTCTGAAACTAAATACAATTTGAGTGGATAATGATTTAAGTTGGTAAAGCTTAAATTTGAGTTAAATTTAAGTCGGTTAAATTTGTAGGCCTAATTACATCGATTACAGACGTCACGTTAATATAGTATTTTATACTCTAGGCTATTATGATGCTAAATAACGCTAAATTACATATTCGCATTTGAAAATAAATTTCCACACAATTTAAATACAGTAAGGTAGGTAGGCCTACCTTAAATTTGTGATTTGATATTAAGTTAGAAAAGCTTAAATTGATTTTTTGATTCTCTGTGTTTAATCTAACTTATTTGACTTTAGCAGGGAAACGACAGTCATATTTGAATTTAGGACGTTAACTTTAGCATCATAACTTAATAGTGTAAATATTGGCCTAATACTAAGTTAAGTTATGTGATTAATATAAATTACCAAGCTCAGGTAGGCCTATGAGATAGGTTAAGTTTGTTTAAAGTGGATCAACAACATTCCTCAATAAAGTTAGCCTAAATAGGACAAATAGTTCAATTCTTGCAGATATGAAACTGTCTGTCTAGGACCTTGAACGTCTAAAATAGGCATAAGTAAGTAACTAACGATGGTAAGCTTAAGCAGATGAAAAACAAACCATAGCCTACTAAACTACGCCTAAACTTAGGTAGCCTATATGAGTAAGTTAAGTTAGGGTAATCTTAGAAAAACATCAACATTTTCTTCTGAAATCGGTAATTATTCGATATATCTACAACGCGATATTGTGTAATTTAAAGATGTCTACTTACAGTATTTTTCACATTGAATCCAAAAATGCAATCAGTATTTGTCGGAGATTCCCAAGTGGCTGTACAGTTAAATAATTAATAGCAAGCTTCAGTTTTGTTGGGTTACGCATTTTTGATATTGTTATTTCATTGTGTTTCACCCTCTTTTTAATTGTGCAAAAACAGTCTGGAAGTAGCATAAATTAATGAGTCGGTTGATTATAACCCAAACATTACCTTCCTTCCTAATCCAACCTCACTTCAAAACACTTAAAATACAGTCACGAATCCGCATAAAACCCGACCTACCTTCCTCACATGCCTAAATAAGAACAACTGATTTATTTGGTTTCAAAACTAATTGATTTCATTCAGCATTAAGTCGAGTATTAAACAACTGTTTGCTCTCCTCCTCACTCAGTCCTCAGTCCACATACGGACCCGTCCAGACCACGCCATATTACCATCCGAACCGTGAAATGAACCTTAGATTCGTAATTTTAACCTTCATTTTATGGCCACTTATGAATCTCTTCGACAAAAACTGATTGCATTTTTGGATTCAGTGTGAAAAATACTGTAAGTTAAGAAGACATCAAAAAATTACACGATATCGCATTGTAGATATATCAAATAAGTTATTTGCACTGAAATGGGGTAGCTTAGCGGATTTTTACCCCCTGGGCGAATGTGACGTCATAAACTAGAGGGTAAAATTCCGCCGCAAACTTTTGAGTTTTGCGTCATCAGTTCGATGGATTAAGTTAAACGTGGAATTAAATGTATATTTTCACAGTTGTGAATTTAATCAGAACACATCAATTTATAAAAACCTAGAGTGTACGGGCCGGAATTTTACCCCCGGACTTTTACCTCCTTCATGAGGTCAGCTCAAAATGTACGGCCCGGATTTTTACCCACCCAACCCCCCGATTTTTACCCCCCGGAATTTTACCCCCTTGCCAGATATATAAATAAGTGAGAATGGTTACTATTATCTTCTTTCAGTTTTAATTTAATATTTTAAACATTTTATTATTAAGTAGCCTAGGCTACCTTAATTTATTTGTAACATCAACTAATCGAACAGGTTTATAATTTTATTTTTGAGATTCGAGTATCAGGATTTGATCTTTGAACCAACTGTTGGTTTATATGACGTATAAAGAAACATCTGAATGGTAATTTTTTTGAAGATTTCTTTAACGATTTATTATACAACCATGGTAAAATAATGTTTTTGTTTTGTGTTATTGTACTGCAGCCTAGTAAGTTAGCCGAAGTAACAGTTGGCTCCAAACGCAAATCCCGTACATCAAAATTAAACAGCGAATTATGTTTATTTAGTTGAGATTACAAAAAAAAAAAATAAAGATAGGTTACTTAATAATAAAATGTTTACAATCAAATAAGAACAGAAATAGGTAAATCAATCATTCTTACTAGTTTCTATATCCGGCCAGGGGGTAAAATTCCGGGGGGTAAAAATTCGGGGATAAAAATCCGGCCCGTACATCTTTAGTTGTCTAAACGCTAGTTCGGATGGGCAGGGGGTAAAATTCCGGATTTATTGCTACGCTCTGTCTATTTTCATTAGACTTCCAAATACGCGGGGGTAAAATTCCACCCGCTAACAAACTTTTGAGCGCTCAGGTTACTACGTAGTGACGTCAGCTTTGCATAGGGGGTAAAATTCCAGGGGGATAAAATTCCAGCGACCCCCTGAAATCATCCATGTTTTCACAACGGTGTTATTTGGTACATCAAGTGTGGAAACCAATGTTACCATTGATGGTGAACATCAATGCTCATCCCAAGTTTCACATTCACCAAAGCTGCACTTTTTTATATGTCCTAACCTTACAATCATTCTAATGAATATGTTGATCGATATATCGGTTATTTCATTCGATATATCAAGTTTGGTTTGTTAGGTTAACCTAACCTAACTAACCAATAAAATAATCAATATACTGTATCGAATACCTAATCTATAGGCCTATAAGTTACTTATACCTCTAGCCTATCTATATTTTTCATTCGAACGAGTGTAGGACAGATAAGTTACTTAAGTGCAGCCTTCACCAAACCTTTAAAAGGCCCAACTTACTGGCAAGAATAATAACTCCTATAAGTCACACGAGTAAGTAAGTATTAAGTTATGCACCACAAACATTTTCCATTCATTTTTATTGTTTTTGTTTAAAACTGCTGTTAGGTACAATCTGATAGACAGCTAAGTTGTACTATGAAAGTTTTAGCATGATTCTCCCTAGTAGCCTAACCTGAATTCACTAGGCCTAAGTTTACAGAAAGTTAGGTTAATCCCTAGCCCAGTAAGTTAGGATTTGTCAAAATAATTGCATGCTTATGCATAAACACATAAACATAAACACAAACCTATTTCATTTCAAGCATCAAACCTGTTGGACCAATAGGTATCCAAAATTCATTCCATCCCATCCTTTGCATACTGGATAGTGGATATTTTATTTTAGATTGAACACTGACTGAAGGGAGATGACTAGGCCTAGGCCTCAACATTCTGCAATAAAATGTAATTACAAACATAGCCTACATACTGTACCTTTTATATACTGCAACACCCGCAAGTGATGCAGTGTTTGAATAGCTTCATATAAAATCCGAGATTAATACTCAAATTAACCAAGCCTGTAAAGAACACAGTCTTGTACTATTCAATAAAGTTTCAAAATTGCAATACATAACAAATAACAAAATCATACCAAGTAAGTACGCGGGAGGGCGTAATCGACGACATGAAATTGAGAGAGAGTAACAAGAAGAAGAAATAAAGAGAGTAAAAAGAAGATTGTGCGCTCAACATGGATCCCCTCAACCTAGTACAACTGGAAACCATATTTTTTGATATCGTTTCATAGCTCATAAAGACGTTGCGGCGAAAGTTCAAATTGTTTCATAAACGCCCAACGCTTTAACCATAGATAAAACCATAGATAAAAAATACCCTTAACGAAAACGGTAACGATAAAAATGCAACGAAAGTCATTTATCAGCCTATTTTTTTACTATTTTATCTTTAGACGAATAATGCATCGAACTATCGAATAATGAGAGTAAAAAGGTAACGTTGTTAGGTAACAAGTCCAGGGTTTTGGACCTTTCCCTTTCAAAAAGTAAAAAAATGCCACTGGTGTAGAAACACACAAAATCAAACTCCACGGATTTGGACTTGATAAATTTGATAAGTGTATCGTTCATAAAAAGAATGTCTTCGTAAAATTAAATGACACGTTGTTATTTGAGTACAGGTACCTAAAAGCTAGAAACATTCAATACTGCTTCTTATAAAGTAAGTTAATGTAATATTACTTTTTATATTAAATTTTTTTTATCCTAACATGGGGTATTAATATCATTTCTTGAGTAAAATTGAGACTGGGCTTGAACATGGGATGGTTAATTAACATTCAATAATTCGTACCCTGAACCAGTTATTAGCGTAGGCACGGGTTACTAGGGCAATACGTGTACGGGAATTGCTGATTTCTTTATATTTGGCGAAGAAAACTATTGATTTAGTATACTGGAATTTACTACTAGCTAAATAAACGACTATTGTTTGAAATGTTATAATGTAATATTAGCTAATAAACATTAAATTTGGAAGCCTACGATACTCTACATAACCAACTACAGTATTTTGAAAATTTGAAAACTAATTAATTCAGCCACTGAATGAATAGATTATTCAACCAGGAGGCTATGATTCAACGTAGGCCTAGGCCTTACATAAAATATTGCAAAATGTTTAAGACTCATAGAGGTCTAGGTATAAAAGCAAACAAAGATTGTTCATCCATAGTATATCCTTATCTGGCGAACTATGTTCTTAATACTGAATATTGATTTTTAATCTGTGGATTTAATGTGCATAAGGTACATAAGGTACCTTAATTTATTTATTTACTAACATATAACTGGCCTTGCCCTATAAAGGGCTTTCTTCATATTTCCTAAAACATGTACATATGTTTGATTTCTTTGTTTTGATAACTACGATGTTTACAAAACCTGCCTGTTGTTACAAAAACGAAACAGTTGTCACATTTGTATCCCGAGTATCCGGTACTCAAAATTAAAAATATACTAGTGCATATGTTGCTCAAACTCGAGCAACTACTGTACAAAGTATTACAGGGGCCCATTTCATAATAAGCTACAAGTTACAAGTTACAGCTTGTAACTTGTAATTTCCATTAGATTTGCATTGGGCGAACAGCTGATTCACTAATAAAGTTTGTACTTTATTATGAAATGGGCCCCAGGTGTTACAGTATTTCAAAACGAATAACACTAATAACAGTAATAATTTCCGATGACTTCAAAGAGCCAACTTAAAGATAATGTAATCAATCACTCCACTCCAGAGTTATCAAAACTGAAAACGAACTCTGAAAACAAACGCTCTTGTAGGTAACATGTGTTTAATATGAACAGCTGTTGTAATTATAATACAAATTATTAGCCATAAATCCGATGAAGAGTGAAACGAAGATTTTTACCCTCCGAAAACCGTTAGATCCTCCAAATTTAGAAATTCTAGATGAACAGATTGCATTGGAACCCTCCTGACCAAGCAATAAAATATTTAGGTGTATACTTCGACCGAAAGTTAAATTGGAAATTTCATATTAATAAAAAATTAAATTTGGCTTATGGCAGATTATCAAAATTGTTTCCTTTAATCAACAAAAAATCATGTATGTCTATTAATAATGGAACCCTTCTATACAAAACACTTCTACGTCCACTGTTTTTGTACGCCTGCCCAGTATGGGGAACTGCTTCATCAAGCTCGATTCGTAAACTGCAAACGTTTCAAAATAAAGTTTTAAGGATAATTCTAAAATGTCCCTGGTATGTTCGAACCCATCAAATACATTTAGAACTGGGAATAAAACCTATAGAAGATTTCATCAAGAAAATTACATCAAAATTATTTACAAAACTTCCATTAACCAGCAGCATTGGATTTTATAACACAGGCCAACCTTCTGAAATCCAGAGACTCCGACTAAAACCCAGATTGCCTCAAGATGTTTTACTATAACAACTTTTTTTTCATTTGTGTTTCATTGGTGGACAGCGTTTTTACAGTCCGACCCGCTAAAACACTGACAATAAGTGCCTGAGGGGCTAGCCATAGCTGACCTCTACCTATGTTAATATAATTAATTAATAATGTTATTTTTTTTTCTTCCTTATATTATACCTAATCTGTATAGCAATGTAATGCTGATCGGTTAATAAAATTGTTATAAAAAAATACAAATTATTCGTCTTTTTATGTAAACAAAATCTTTTCTTCATAAGAAATACATTGGGAGTTTGATGGCCTGTGGGGCAAAGGCAAAGCCTGAGAACTTTTATTACAGGAATTGGTAAAAAGGGGCGTCTACACAAATAATACTCAATTTTGACACATAGTTTGTAAAAATCCGTCCATTTTAACGGAGGAGTAGCGTTTCCTAGGAATCCGCCTTATATATAAGGAAATGGACATTGACTCAGAAGTACATTGAACTTTTAAAACCTGCTACTAAAAGGAGGAAGAAAGAATAAAACTTGCTTACAGGCAAGTAAGCTTGCCTGTTAGAACATTTGAACATTTGGCTACAGATCCTCAGGAGTCATTGACTTTGATTCGGATTTGCGCAGTGGCCTTGAGACCCACCATCCAACCACGTGGTCCACAGCTGTTTGTTTGTTTGTTTGTTTACATTACCTTCTAACTCTAACACCTGGGGCCCATTTCATAATAAATTACAAGTTTCTAGTTACAACTTGTAACATGTAATTTCCATAAGATTTGCTTTGGGCGATCAGCTGATTTACTAATAATTTTAGTTTGTACTTTAACTTTATTATGAAATGGGCCCCTGATGGTATTTTCTTCAGACTACTGATAGGAACCATAGAGATGAATTGTTAAAACAACGTTGTGTCTAATTCAAATTGATCTTAAACTGGTTTACTACTTCTTTTGTTATTGTGGCACTTTTGTCTAAATGCAATTTAGGCTCTTCTTGATTTTGTTATTTCAGATATTTAAACACGCAAAATAAAAAGATTCAAGCTTTTAAGAAAGATATTCCGACCATACCATGTGAAATTTATGATAAAAATGAATGACATGTCCCATAAAGACCACGCTCTCTTTGTGCTGCTCCAAGTCCAACTCACTGCAGCATACATGAAACATACTCCTGTGTCAGTTAGTCCATTACACAACTTGTGATATATGTGTTAATGTTGAATGTGGTTTACAAATATTCCAATTATTCCCACCATACTGACAACCTCTCGGCTCCCACTATTATTTGCAGCTCACCCTCCCATAATGGTCGACACTGTGGAGTTATTGATCAGCAATGTTGAAAGCAAGCTGGGGGATGTCCAACACACTAGACCTACCCTCTGATAAGACTTCTGTAGGGGTAGCAAACTGCGGGGCTAATACAAGGATGTAGGTGGGAAAAATGGAAAGTAGTGTTGTTTTATTTGGAAAACAGTACAAAACAACTTAGATAAACATACTATTTTATCTTTTCAACCACAGAATCAGTTGAAGACTTGTCATGGCCTATTTCATATGTCCTATCTTCTCTAACACTAAATTACGAACTTAAAAGTATACTAGAATTGACTATATATTATTGAGAATATATACAGGGTGAATAAAAAGTAAAGACCCCCCTCTAATATTTTTGTAAGTAAATATACTGTACAGATATATCCTTTTGTTGGTTGTGCAATCCTAGCAGGAATTTTCATTTTATGATTTTGACATTTTGTAGCGTCCCCCAAAAAGGGGGGACTTTGGAGGCAACTCAAAATTTTTAAAAGTAACCCCCCTTCACGTGACACCTCATTTTAAAGTGTTTACAAAAACGTAATGAATGGTGAAAACCAGAGTTTGCTATCTCTTCTCTAACAAAAATGGCCCGTCAAATTTTATGGAAAATCAATATGGCAATATTGGCTACCATTTTGGATAGAGAAGAGATAACGACCTATAGTTTTTACCATTCTTTAAGTTTTTGTAAACACTTCAAAATGAGGTGTCACTTGAAGGAGGTTTACATTTAACATTTTTGAGTTGCCCCCAAAATCCCCCTTTTTAGGGGCCCTCAACAATCTTAAAATCATAATACCTCCACCACAGCAAACCTGCAGACTATGCGAATTTCCACTTGTCTGATTACATTTTTACTAAAATATTTCGCGAAATAAGACATATTTATTCCCAATTTAAATAGCGGCATTAGATTTAACGAGTGCCTTTTATTCCCTATATGGGAAATTCGCTAAAATGAAACTTACTGCTAAGGTTGCACAACCATCAAAACGATAACACTTCAATATCTACTTAGAAACAAATTAGAGGGAGGGAAATAACATTTATGACACAAGAAAATTAATGTAACAGTAACTTCATTAAACTTTTGACGGGCTACCATTTTGGTCAGAGAAGAGATAGCGAACTCTGGTTTTCACCATTATTTAAGTTCTTGTAAACACTTTAAAATAAGGTGTCACTTGAAGGGGGTTTTATTTAAAAATTTTGAGTTGCCTCCAAAATCCCCCATTTTTGGGGGACATTTAAAAATTTCAAAATCATAAAATGAAACATCCTTTTAAGATTGCACGACCACCAAAAGGATAACTCTGTATATTTGGAGGAAAAAAATAATTGAAATATTGCAGTCAATTCAGAGGTGCCCATCCCCCCCAAACC